GCCCTCAAGTGACACTGACACATCGTCGATACCAGAACGAGATTCTTAATGAAAAGTAGGAATGTACAAGTGGTCAGTAGTCAAGTCTGGGTGGAAGTAGGAGTTGAAGGTTGAAGCGATTATGCCCAGATCAGAAACTGAAACATTGGCAATTGTGATCGTGTGTGAAAAACTCGATGGTAGGACAACATTCCAGAATTTATGGGAATTTCCTTTCATTAGCCTCACCAAGGTTACCCTGTAGCAATGTTCTTTAGTAGCCTTCATTTTAGCAGATAATTTTTAGGTCATCGCACACATTTATTTTCGATGGACACCGTAAGTGCCAAAGATCAGGTCCGATTTGTCCACACCTAAAATTCCAGCATAGCTTTTGTGAACCAGTAGTAACTTTTCGACAACTTCAAGAGCTCGAAAGGTGCTTCCTTCTTAGTCTTCTATATGCCAGGACGTGCTTATTTGCTGTGCGCATCGCTCCCATCAAGTTCACAGCATGACAGTCTTTCTGCTGCATGTAGAGTATGCTACCCTTCTCAATCCACTGAATGTCTCCACACTGGCTTTTTTTTTTCAGCTGCAAACAGTTCAGCTGAAAAAATTGCCCGCAGCTTCCCTCGGGGGAACACTGAGGAGGATGCGGACCATATAATTGGTTAACGGGGTGTTAAAGTGCGACTTACTTGGGTCGATGGCTAAATTGGTTAACGTGGTTGTGAAATGGGGTGTTAAATTGCGACTTACTTGGGTCGATGGCTAAATTGGTTAACGTGGTTGTAGGAGGGGGTGTTAAATGAGTGAACACGTACACACGTATGCGAAAGGGCGGCGCTGGTCGAAGAGACGTCGATCATTGTGTTTGTGGATTCGTTGGAATTCATTTCACCGCGACCTTGGACGTCGACGCGCCGTACAAACCAACCGACGAGCGGCAACTGAGCGAGCGAGCGCCGACCTTGAGTATATATACAGCGCGACGGCGCATGCACTGTCAGCTGTTGAATGTTCTCGAAGCGCGACGCCACATGCGCGTCCACTGGAGAATCAGGAGAATTGTAGATGTCCAACGCGGTGTGTAGAGGAGGAAGGGTGCACAGATGGTGGAGGAGTGAAGCGCGCGCGGTGTGTAGAGGAGGAAGGGATGCAAAGATGGTGGAAGAGTGGGCGACGGCGCATGCGCGCGCGTCAGCTGTCGAATGTTCGAGAAGTGGTGCGGACGGCGCACTACAAGGCGCGAGTATAAGATGCTTCCGCATCTAAAACAGCAGAAGGTTTAGTTCTGTTGGAAAGCAGCGACTGTCCTTGTGAATTGTTCCACTAAATAACTTGCGCTTAAGCAGATGTTCAAAACATTTTGCCGTTTTAAGAAAAGGATTCGTGTAAACCTCGTATCCCTGATTGGGGTAGTAGGGGTGCAATCGCCTCCTGCAAGATCAATCACTCCTCGTGTTGCACATGTGTCTCACAGACAGGCTGCATTTAAGATTAACCATTGAGCGGTAGGCGGCGCAGTGCTCGCGAGTGTATCACAATCATCATAATGGTTAGCGAGGTGGCGCCAGAAGCAACATCTAGCAAGGAGGCTGCATGGCAGCATGTGAGACATGAGCGGCTTTCTCTTCACAATCGCATCATCATGGTTAGTGTTGTAGCACGAGCTGCGACAACTGGCGGGAAGGCTAGGTGGCGGCAAGCAAGACGTGAGCGGCTCTCTTTTGCGTGTGGTGGCTAGCAGCGATGGTCGTCTCCCAACAGGGTCCCCCGGGATGCGGCGACAGCATATCTTTTCTCGTGGGTTCCTAGCAGCGAGTGACATCAGCGAAGTCTTGCATTTGTCTTTTTAAAGTGTAGTAGAATATTGTATAATGTTTATCATGTTGATCCCTAGTGATGTATTTCATTTAGCTGGCGATATCGTCGATGTAAATGTGGTTCAATAAATGTTTTTCTTTGGTGTGGCTTCGAACATGATGTCTCTGTTTTGCGAGAGCGGCTCTCATCGCGAAACCCCTACAAGGTGCTGCGTACAAAGGCAGTTTGCTATGTCAAGGGCCGGGTATGAGGCTCTGATACTTCGCACCTGCCAGTGTACACGAAGAAATCTGCTAGGACCTAGAGTTTATACAGAAATGATCACTTTTTTTCTAATAAAGCGCATAATTTCCGATTGGGCTTTAAACCTGACCATGCGCATATTAACAGATATGCTGCACTATGGCTTGAGAAAATTAAGAGATTGCCAATTTCAGTGCATCAGAGGCAGGACACTGTCCCAGCGATAGAAAACACATTTTGCTTTTTGGAGCAGATGCTATAGCTTAGGGTTGCTATTCGTGTTTTCGGAGCAGATGCATGTTCCTAACGACTCCTGAAATCTAAAAGATCACTTAAACATCTCAAATATTTATATTTATTATTAAACATCCCATATGCTAGCACGCAGCCAGTATACAAGAAGTATAGTAGCATCATTGGCGTAAATCATGGGGCGAGGGGGGGTGGGGGTGAAAGTAGTCTGGTTTTTTGTTGTGTTCAGGCTGGGGAGTACAGCCCTTGCAAGACCCTTTAGATTTAGCTTTAGCACATGGTATAATTGAGTTAACAGTTAAGTATAGTGCAATCAAATTTTTAAAAGGCTATTTATCTTTTACTGTGTAGATGTGGTAAATGCCCCCCCCCCCCCCCCCCCCCCGAGCAGTGTGAACTATGCAAATCACAATAAAGTGAAAAAAAAAAAGACTTAATATAACAATGCAATTTCTCGAGCTTGGACCCCATGCTCCTTTTTGAAAATTTTATTTGTAGGCTTGATTTAATTATTATATAAATAAAAATAACACATTTTAAAAGCCTTTGCACAGAGTTGGCCGCCATGGCCCGATATGTGTCGCCCCTTGCGATTTTTCTGGATTTACGCCACTGAGTTGCACACTAGGATGATAGTGTGTATACAGCTTTCTTTTGGTTTCGCTTAAGCTCACGGGAAGGTCCCATGGCTCAACATCACCCTTTCTAGTTTGCCAACATAATTTCCGAGTAGGTTTGGAGCAGTTGCGAGCAAATATTGCACTTTGGAGCAGCATTTCTGTTTTGAAGCAGGTTGGAGCAGATCTTCCATCACTGCTGTCCAAGTCTTGCCATTGAATGCAGCAGGCGTCTTCCGGGTCCTCAACATTTAAGACAAGCAATCAATGTGAAAAATGCATCTCATGACATTAACAATTGGTGGCGAAAGGCCCCCGAATATTCAGTGGTCTGCCAACATATGGTCAGTTGTGACACTTCGACAAGTCTCATGCAGGTGATGAACCCAATTAGTTGTAACATATGCAGTGAACTTGCTCCTAGGAGCAGTCATGCCAAGAACAGGTTCGATTTTCACAAGTTCCTCCAGACATGTATAACTGCGCTTCCACACAATCTCTTGATTACTTCAGGGATGAAAAACAAAAAAAAACCCAGGGCTCTAGAGAAGTGACGTTTGCGATAGGCTTATCGAAATACTGAATTTAGGTTCTAGGCGAATAGCGATTTTGATCCAATAATTTGGAATCAAAGTCTTAGTATATATTGCTTATTATAAAGCATTGATGATTTGATATGTGGGGTTTAAAGTCCCAACACCACTATACGATTACGAGAGATGTCGTAGTAGAGGGTTTCGGAAGTTGTTTCAACCACCTAAGATTCTTTAACGTGCACTCAAATCTGAGCACAAAGGCCGACAGCATTTTCGCCTCCATCGAAAATACAGTCTCATTCAGCCGGAGTTCGATCCCGCGACCTGCGGGTCAGCGGCCGAGTACCGCCGCAGGGCTATTATAAAGGAAAATGAGCATAATCGTCCTATGTTACCCGCACAGGATTTTAAGAATTAAAACCGGGCCTATGCAAGTGCCATCCTTTTTGGAAGTGGAAGCAACTTTGAAACAATGACTTTCAGTAGAACGCAAGTGATAGCCTTAAATATCTGTCAAGATTTAAAATTTAGCATTTCAGCTGGTATAACAGGCTTTTAGGCTTTACATATTATGAACCTATGCGAGTGTAATATGTTCATTTAACCTTAAGTTAGGCTTCATGACAGTGCTTTTTTTTTATTAAAATGTTTTCACGGCTTAGCATCCTTTCACTGCAGTGAAGCCATCTTTGCAGAAATTGCATGCGGACTGATGTACACTTATTCGTTCACTTCGAATACATCAAAATTTTCAACAACTTAAATTCGAACCGAAGGGAATTCAAATACAAAATATTCATTCAAATATTCAAAGCATTCGGAACATTTACACAGGCCCAGTTTGCTCCATAACACTGCTCCAACAAAGGCAGCACCTTGTGTGCTTGGCAAAAACTTGACATGGCACAATGAATTGGGCAAAATAGCCTGGTGCCATAAGTTGAGGCCCGAAACTGTAGCCGCTTTAAGGAACATGTAAAGGCCCGTCCTCGCCAAAACCAATATCTAATTATCCCGAATTGTGGCTCAAGCCATCGCACTACTGCTGGAGGTCAGAAATCTGAAGCGGCTGAAATGCTTGCAAGAGGGGCCTTTAGAGGGGCGCGGCTTGGCTGGGATGTCATTTTAGCACGAAGCTAGAAACCCTTTTCAGTTCAAGTTTTGTTTTCAATGGGACGGTGGATCACGAAATGTCACGAAAAACGGACAGTGTGAAACTGCCAGCGAGTATGCCAGATGGTATGTGTTGCCTGTAAGGTGTCACTTTGATGTCTTGCGGGAAATTTTAAGTCACCGAACATCTGCGTCCAATGGTCAAAATTATTATTCGTGTTTAATGTCCCAAAACCACCATATCATTATGAAAGACGTCGCAGTCGAGGGCTCCAAAAATTTCGACCACCAGAGGTTGCTTAACGTGTGCTTAAATTCAAGCACACAGGCCTCAAACATTTTCACCTCCATCGAAAATGCGGCCACCATGGCCGGGATTTAGTCCCCCGACCTGAGGGTCAGCAATCCAGTGCCTTAGCCACTCGACCACCGTGGGGCGTGTCCAATGGCCAGTGAAACTTACTGAAAGTTAAGGTAAACTGTTGAGCGGCTTATCAGAGACTGGCCTTCAAGTTCACAGCACACAATACAAAAGCTCGCATGAAAATCTGGGTTTAAGCCAGAACTGAAGCCAGGCACTTCGAGAGACGGTCAAGCATTCTACCGTAGAGCCACACTAGCACTTGAAGGTTCTCTGTAAAAAGACCCTAGACCAGTGTCGCGTCGGACAAGCGGTCCCGTTGACACACGTAATAATGCGTGGCAAAAGCTTGGAACTGCATAAGAAATCAATGTGAGCTGGATAACTAGTTCGTTGGTGGTTTACAACTGACCAATCCGGTACAAAAGGCTTGGCCTTAATTTATCATCAGGCACAGAATTAACACAGTGTGCAGCTATGCAGGTACACAAATTTCCTTACAGACACATTGTGGCTACTTTTCTACTTTACAAAATGATGGGTTATAATGCATCAAACGACTTTTGGTTTTGAGCCATCTTGAAAGAATGCATAAGGGACTGTTTCCATCTTGTATATATCTACCTCTATATTTCACACGTAAAAAATGGTGGTGTGCAGTTATATAAAATGACTGGATTTCATAAAAACAATTGTTTATATACATAAATGCATAAAGCAAAATAAAATGCACACATAATAGATGCATATTAAAACACAAATAAAATGCAGCGTGCACTCTATATAATTAACCACTAGTCAGCTTTTAATGTTTCAAGAACACTCGGGACTAGCTACATGTTCACTGCATAAATAAAAGAAGTAAGGAAGGCTAATCACTAAAAACGTGATTTAGAGAAACAGGAAACACACCAACATTACATTTACCATAGAATAAAGAAAAATCACAAGGGCTGGCGAGTAGTAGTGTTACTTGATGGAGCATCAAAAAAGGAACGAAAGGTCATTTCTCCTGCAGAAATCTTCGAAGCTTTCTTCTGCTCTGCAGACCAGCACTGACGAGGGCAAAGTGGGCGGTGGTTCCACCATGTCAGCACTGGCAAGGGACGACAGGACAGCTGAGGGGGGGCGGCAGGATGATGGTTCGATGCCCTTGTCGAAGGCCTGCTTGCGGTTCCAGTGCTCGGCCGACTCGTAGTGGTTAAATGCATCATTTGCGCACGAAAAGCTGGGGATGTTGCATATGTGGCACTGAAAGTAGCCTGCAGGCAAACAAACACCAGCAGTTTTGGTTGGAACAGTGAACCTATGTATACCTATGCACACAGTAGGTTTCAAGAAATGTGTTCACTACGCGTTTACACAAAGGAGGAATCTGCGTGCTATTTGTGGTGTTCTCTGTACTGTGGCAGAAGCCACCCTCAGATGCGTACGAACAATTACGGCAGCAATTATAAAAATTGCTGCACACTTGACCTTAACCCGCGAAAATTAGCGGTCGAGTCAAATGGGGGAAGTCAAGTCCTTCAGGCGAATAGTCTAGATCCACTTTGAAATGTTTGAAAGGCAACCACTGGCAATCGCAAGAGATCGGGTTATAGTCAAATGCCTCTTTTGTTTCTTGCATTCCTATCATGCCACTTTTATATGTGAGCATAAATTAAAGATTAGGAAGAGCTTTTATAGTGTTTTTGTACTGCTTGTAATGCCCATTTTTTACTTTAGTGCCGAAATTCCTTTAAGTGACTACATATGCTCATTTAGAAAATTGGTGCCCATTTGAGCTCAATTTAACTTCAACTTTTGCTTTCAAGGACAGTTGGACACCGGTATTTACGTTACCGGGCAAAATTGAGCTTTCAAAACTATGTGGCGTGCAACCTATACTTTATCTCGCCAAGTTACTTTCGGCGCTATCAAGGCTACAAGGCCTCCTAGCTAAAAGAAAGGCCGATTAGCTATATTGAAGTTGAGGTCGGACCGATGGCCCAGGTCTTCTCGCGGTCAGGCAGGCTGTCGCAAACATCCCCTTCTCGAAGAGCTGCTGTATAAGGGGATCGGACTGACGAACGGAAGAAGAGAACGAGAGGTTTAATTACATATTTACAGAAAGAGAATTTAAAACAGGAATCAACGCTCAGGCATTTGCCTGCAGCGTTTTGTCCTTTCACAGTCCCTAGATGCCAGGCCTAGGGAAACGGGGAAAGCCATTTTCACCCAAGCAGGTCAGCACTGTTGGGGGTCATTTTGCCGGCACCACCCGTAACACACACACACACACACACACGCACGCACGCACACACACACACACCCGTAACACACACACACACACCCGTAACACACACACACACACCCGTAACACACACACACACACACACACACACACACACACACACCCGTAACACACACACACACACACCCGTAACACACACACACACACACACACACACACACACACACACCCGTAACACACACACACACACACACACACACACACACACACACACACACACACACACACACACACACACACACACACACACACACACACACACACACACACACACACACACACACACACACACACACACACACACACACACACAAAACCAAAAGCAGGTATTGTTCCGGCCACCCTGTCGTATCCGGAGATCATGCTGCCAGCAAACATGATGTAACGAGTCCGTCGTGTCGCTGCTCGGGCTGACCACCCACATGGTCAAACGGTGGTCGCAGGCCAGGCAACTCCAATTACATGTGCTTGATCATCTGGCGTTTCAAGCTTCGGCGACTTATCAGCCAGAGACTCGCAGCGTGGTGGTCCGTCTTCGGCGGAAACTCTGCGTACCGGCTTCAGTGCACAACGGCACGATGTGTCGCATTTCTGCGACGGCACAAACGACAGCCCTGCTGCATGGAGTAATTACAACCATGCACCTCCCAATAGATGAAAAACAACACGGAGCCTTCGCGTTCCTCCTTATCGGTGGCTGCCTTTCTTCCGTCTCGGCATCCGCAGCAAAGGTTGGCTCGCCGATCACAACAGCCTTTGCACAAGTATTCATCCATGTCCGAGTCTTCTGCTCGGCATTTATCAGGCGTCTGCTTGCATGCATAGGGAACAGGATGCTTCTGTGCAGTTGCAGGATGACAAAGAACGAATGCGATACCGTAGAGTCATCACAGCAAAGTAGAGTGGAGATAAAAAATAAAAGATGTTCACGTGGCGCTTGTCATTTCCTTTTTAAACAAGGCTTCGCTAGGTCGCATGAGAAAAATTACTCGTACAGTGGAAGTTGTTGTGTGCCCAAGTCAATGTTTTGTACCACTAGAATTTTTTAATTGGTTCATTACAGGCAGTGAAAGCAAGATGCGAGGAGGTGAGCTTGAAACCTTAGCCACACGCCCGGTGTAGAATTTGCAAGCCAAATTTTTTTCCTGCCCTGTTCAGTATCGAAGCAACTCTAAGCCGCATGAACATTTCATTTGCAAACAAGATACATTCGCATGACATGCCGAGATCCACGCAAGCGCCGTTTTGTCATTTGGACGTTCTCTGCACTGTGCTGCCTGTTTCTGTGGGATGTATCCCTCTATGCACGCACGTTTGGAGATGCTGGCATGGATCATGTATTCTTACCTACGATACAAAGCGTCACACCGCTGGAACTGCTTTAAGGAACGGTGCACCAGAAAACACACCGGCATGATGTGAGAACGGCGAGAACACCGAACCAAACGAAATGAAGGCAGCTTAATCTCGCATCTCGCTGGATACAAAGTAAAAAAAAAAAGACAAACATGCAGATTCCATTTGTATATTTTAATATTTCCGTAAACATTCACACTTCCATTCAGGCAACAGATTGAACAAATTATGCACGTTACCTCGAATAATTCTCGGAGTGTCACGTACTACTTTGACGCATGCAGGACCATACCATGCTGTTTACGCAACCTCCACCATGCTGGGTGAACGCCCGAGAAATGAAGTTCTAGTGGCATTCAGTCGGACATTCACCTTCTTACAGGGCTCGTAGCATTGCAAATCTAAGCAGATGAGACCATGAGCAGCCAGAGCACGCATTCCTTTTGCCTGCTCGAAGTTCTCAAACTTGGTGAATTGCCTTTAAGGTGTCCACAGACAGAAAATAAAATTGACCATGTGCGAATACACCAAGTTAATACGAGGTAAAAAAAAACCTTTTCCCCTATTATTGCTTTATGTATTTGCTTTTGTGTTACCCTTCTCAGCCATGCAAAAAAAAAAAAAAAAAAAAAAAAAAACTCGGGAGGGTGTTCATTCGACAGTGGACACTTGACTCTCCATGCTGGACTAGAAAAGGAGAGGCCGCATTCTGCAAATCTTGAGGGGGGGGAAAAATGCATGACTATGGTAGACTATTGACGCCTTTGTACAATCCTCAACTAAAACATTTTTGGATGCTTTCCTGCTGTAGACACGGATACCAGATGCAAATTCCTCGAAAACTTGAATTTTGTCAAAGTTTACTGTGCCTATACTTACAATTTTGAGGCCTAAAAGAATGTTTTGTCCGCCTGTCTTCGGCATCTAAAATGCGTGTTTTTTAGTGCCTATAAATCCGGCCACAAAAAATCATGGCCGGGCACTGAAAAGCTGGCCAATTTAGCAGGCGAAACCGACGCACCAAACGGCACATATGCCATTCGCTTCTAAAATGCTCTCAACGGCAACTTACTGCTTTTGTTAGCACTCGAGCTGGCCAGCCTAATAGACTTGGTTTCCACTGGTGAAGCTGGCCCCATCAATGCCTGATGCATGGCCATGGCTTTGGCGTGGCCTGCACTGGCCATGTGTTCCCGCATGGGAGCGGGACCCGTGAAGCTCATGCGGCATGGCTCGCACACGAGGCCGGACTGGAAGACTGGACCACTTTGAATTTTCTTTTTGTGCTTCTCGGAGGCTATGTGCTGGTTGTACGGTTCAGGCCCCGTGAACGTTTTCCCGCACGGTGTGCAGGTGTAGGCAGAGGAAATCATGTCCGTGAAAGAACGTTTCCTACAAGATCTGAGAGAGAGAAAGAAACAGCCGCCTGTGAAAGACACATAACCGTCTTGTTTATAGAAGAGGGTTTGGCATGTGCATACATATGCATATCTATGAGCTTGTCTAATTACTTCATGCCCACATGCACATGCACCAGTGATGCGACAGACTGAAGCAGCCAAGATCTCGTTTTGGAGCAGCACAACCTTTTGGAGCAGTTACGAAGCAAACACTTGCTAACAAACAAGCATCTGCCTCAAGTAGACCTGATCAGTTGTACTACATGTTGAATAAAAATCAATATATGCATGAATACATGCATTCTCACTTGGAATACCCCTGAAAAATGAAACTTTACTGCTCGCAACTTTTCTACAGACAGCTTCAGGTTCCTCCCGAGTGCCGACTTTAGGCCGCCTAACATTTTCCCAGAGTGCACCGCATATTTGTGAATGAAGACGACTATCTGATTTTTCAGTTACACTGCTGGAAACAATTTGTGGAAAATTTCTATGCACTCTGTTTACTACTATCCAGAAAGTCTGCAATATTCATACTTTCATAGCAACCAAGGGTTTTGCCGAGTGATGCAGTGCCTGTGGTTTCGCTTGGGCAAGAGAATTGACAGGATGCTAGTTCATGAAGATTTGATAAAGCATGGCATTCAATAATAAGTGGATAGCAAAATGGCGCATTTCTTACGGTACTTCCAGTTCATGGTACTTCCAGGGTTTTGAACGCAGTGCGAGATTATGCTTTGAAACATGTAATGTTTCCCAGAACCACCTCAATTCAGTAATTTTGATCACAAACGACGACCATTTCAAAATCGCTCGCACTCGATTGGACGTACTGCCGAATGTCAACATACGTTCAATGACAACAGAAGCATGCATACTCCGAGATTTTTGCCCCGCCGTGGTGGTCTAGTGGCTAAGGTACTCGGCTGCTGACCCGCAGGTCGCGGGTTCGAATCCCGGCTGCGGCGGCTGCATTTCCGATGGAGGCGGAAATGTTGTAGGCCCGTGTGCTCAGATTTGGGTGCACGTTAAAGAACCCCAGGTGGTCGAAATTTCCGGAGCCCTCCACTACGGCGTCTCTCATAATCATATGGTGGTTTTGGGACGTTAAACCCCACAAATCAATCAATCAATACTCCGAGATTTATGAAAACCGCTGAGCGCATAAAAGGCCCACGGGACAAAAAGGCCACTCTATTAGTGGTATCGTGAGACTCAAAACTATCGAAGTAGCTTTTTAAGCAACGAGTAGCATACTATGGCATATTTATTGGGTCACACTTGCAAGCGTAAAGTGCCGATAGGCTGTGTTTTGTATGTTGTAAGCAAAGAATTCTTCCTGCTGGTTTCACCTCTTGGCTCAGCTACCTGTGCGCACACATACTCACATACACAGCAGAAAAAGAGGGCTACAAGCATACAAAACAAGCTTTACTAATGCTTTGACTGAAGGACCTGTCTTCGTCATAATCACGCTGACGGAGACGAGGGTGTCCTATTTTCTTCTCTATAAATGCTAGGACTCTACGTGCCAGAATCTTAATGATTATGAGCTATGCCGTAGAAACAGGCTTCCAAATAACTTTGGCCACTCCAGATTTCTTGATGTGCATTAAAATGAAGGCCCCCCCGCCCCCTTTTTTTTCTCTCATTCTCTCCATTGAAAGGGGGCCACTGGGGCTAAGAATCGAACCCGCGCCCCGTACTTTAGCAGCACAACACTGTAGTCATTAAGCCACCATTATAGCAGACTAACCTCATTATCAGTGAGCAGAACCATACATTACACCTGACACACCTCGAGCCAGGACCAGGGATGCTGGGGTCGTGTCAACAATGAAATGTGCCACCGAATCGAATGATCAGTTTCACCGACACTTCCGTTGGCCGAGATTAGTAATGGAGGGAGTTTCTCTGCCCGATGTTAGCATACTTGGACTAGCGAGCAATGTCACAATCGCCTGCTGTGGTCCAGTGATGACCAAAATGCATGCAGTGCCGATTTCGCAATCCTTCTAGAGGCAAGAAACGGCACAGGCACATACTCCCGCAACAATGAGATACTAACACCTATCACAAAGTGTCATGCATAAGACGAAATAGGGCGCATTCATAAGATGACAATATGCAGCGCCCAATCGGAAGGAATGCACACATGCTGCATACCTGTTCCAAACTCCAGATGGCACCACTATGAACAGATAATACATAGAGTGGGGTGCACCATCTGATACTAAACCAAGTTTCGTGGCCATGCAGCAATCCCATTTCAGCACATATTTATCATGTCCGATGAAAGCAGACTCATCAGCTGATGCAGCAAGCATGACGGTCATATTGTTACCTTTAGAAATGTGTATCATGCTGTGGCGTACTGGTAGACCTGAAGGGGTCGTGCACCAGAGGCCTATCTCGGTGCATGACCCCTTCAAGTCTAACATGCACCGAGATAGGCCTCCGGTGCACGACCTCCCTTCAAGTCTACTAGTACGCCACAGCGTAATAAACACATTTCTAAACGTAACAATATTATTCATGGTGTCTGTATGCCAGTAGCAAACTTGCAAACACGCAAACTTGCAAACACGCAAACTTGCAAACACGCAAACTTGCAAACACGCAAACTTGCAAACAGAGGCCGACAAAAGGTGGACTCATCTGCAGCAGATTGTAGGCATGCTCCTTGTCATAACTTTGACTTCAGGAACCTACATTGCTCAATCGCTGCACAAATGTCCAAGTTCCTTCAAAGCTTTTTTTTTTTGTTGAACAAAATTAATTCAATGAGACAGTTAAAGGCACTGACAATAGTTTTTTTATGGTACCTATTTTCTTTAGCGCAACTTAAGGTTTACCAGTCAGAGCGTGTAACCACGAAACTAACACAGAAGACTGCGTGAAACATTTGTAATCAATTTTTCAATCTGAGGCAAATATGAAGTCTCATATGCTGGCGACGACACATGCCGCAAAAAGCGAAATGCGAGAGCAGTTCATGTTCAAGCGCAGCTGCTTACTATGCATGTGTGCACTTCATGCGCATGCGCCGTGGCTCGACACAGTCTACTGGCTGTCGAGCAAGCAGAGTCTCTTCTCAATGCGCAATTCCTTTACCATGCAAGTAGCAAAGAATACAGCAAGGATGAATAGCAATATACATATTAGAATTTCGATTATTATTTAAATACACATGGTGGCATTGAACTACACGACAACATGAAGCAAAATTATAGACTTTATAATCCAGCTCCAGGTTATTCCACTAGGTTTTGAGACACCCGTTTTATTATTTCTAAGCACATTTAAAACTTATGTATCCTACTCAAAAGGCAAAATAATTATGGAATCCGTCACTAAATTTTACGGTTTGTTTCATTTCCACCAGATCTAACCACACGTTCTGACCACTTGCAACGACTTGCGAATAGAGCAGTAACATTTACCAGCAGCTTCTCTCGCCAAAGAGGGAAGAGAATCGCCACGCTTCCTTGAAGACCAGCTGGATGCTGTGAAGAACAAAATAAAACAGTCACAGATATGACTTAACAAATATGCCACAATGCAAGCAACGGGTCTGTGGTTAAGACTAAACATTGAAGGTTAACATGCGGGCAGTCAACAGTGTTAACTGCCACCGTTGATTGGCCCATTCCCACTGGCAATTCGCAGTGGTTGTGATGTCAGTCATAATTAAAGCTATAACTAGATGTTACTGAACCCGATTTTGTGGAGCTCTTGATCCAACAAAGGAATTTCCTTTCCCCAGCAGGTACCCATAGCTTTTGATGTAGTCATTAACCCCGTCTTCAGACTAACTTGGCTGCCAAATCTGATATACGAAGGTTTTCCTAAAACTGAGGGGGTAAAAAAAAAAAAGAAGAGCTTTCTTTGCAATATATAACTTTCTTAGAGTGTCTCAGCTCGGCTGTCTCATAAGTGATGGCAATAGGGGTGGTCGTGGCTGCTTTGGTTACTTACGCAACTGACGGCACCGATAACCTCCTTTCTTGCATGGCTTGCTAACACAATCGCCGCATTTGTTCTCCCCACCTTTGCATATTGGCCCCACGTTAGCTTCATGTGAACATCTACCTGACCTGCATTGCCTAGATGAGGAGCCTCCCATGTTTGGTCGCAGTGGGAGGCTCCATGTGGGAACTGCCCTTGCACACTTTTCACACATGCAGGCATGGGTTAGTGTTAAACACAAAGCCACAATAGCCTTTTGGGTAACTACATTGCAGTTTTAGACTTCATAGTCGCAAATTCCATTCTCGATTTTACAAAATAATTTGAACACGATCACGATTCATTGAATTGATTTTCAAATAGTCTTTAGTTGATGCAAACTTTTGAGTCAGCAGCGGTTGTTGAATTATGCAGCTGCAAAGCATGTGCACCGATTAAGACGTGCAGGAACAGAATGTTTTACAAGAAGGTGGCGGCGAGAGCAGACATCAACAGCATATTACGCAAGTGCTGTGGCATAAATCGTGGAGGGGTCAGGAGAGTACCATCCCCGCTATGTTCAACCTGAGGGAAAGTGACACCCCTTGCAAGTATTCCCTTTCGAGATTCAGCTTTCGAACATCATATTTGAGTTGACATCTAAGCTTTACACAATTTCTGAAAACTCTGAATTTGAATGCTCCTCCAAAAAGCAGAAACGAAACATGAAAGTGAAGTCTGCTTTAATTTCAAAAACTGCTGGGAGCACAAGCTTCCAGGAATGCTACAGGTTACTTCCGATGTGTCGCATATTTTCCTTGTGCTGCCCTTTCATATGCGAAGTAAATATAGAATCCTGGTCATCTATCTACCGTTATTTTTATAGTAGATGTCAATATGTTACAATCCATTCACAAGTAAATGAATCCGATTGTTCTATGCTCCACGATTGGGTTTTTGGGGAAAAAAAGCAATCACCGGTGAATATCCACATGCTTGAAGAAAATGTTTCCAGGAGTAAATCATGGGAGGCTATGTGAAACAAGTAAACAGGATGGGCCATTGAGCTAAGTTAAAAAGGTACCTTAACGCGTTACAACAAAAAAAGTTTCCATTTCGCAGCACACCCCGAATGGCATATTAAAGGACCCCTGACAGTAAAATTTTCGCTGCAGACTTTTTACTGTAATTTGTAGCCTGGTGTCTGGTAATGCCAAAATAAAATCCTAATTGCTCCAATGAATTGTGAAATTAACGCCAGCATCACCAATTGTGACTAATTATAGCACAACTTCGGAACGCCCATCTAAAATTGTAAGAAACTAGCGCCTCACTGCTCAATACCAAGCTTTGGCACGCAGTTTTCAAATTTGGGGCTCCGCACGTGGTGAAAAATGAAATGATGCGAGTGTCTCAAGCATATCCCCTGAAGAAGAAAAGCACTCTTAGCACAAGAAGCCAAAACCATCTTGAGAGAAATCCGACAACACAGCGAGAGGGGCGAGGCACAATAGCCCTCTTTGGGCACCAGCCATGGTTTTGTGGACACCCTGAAAATGTTCTTCAAAGTTGACAATACGCTCTTTTCTTGCAGAACATCACCCGGGCTTTCATCCACGTCACACTAGTGGCAATGTCGCGAGGTGCTGTCATCTCAGATGGGCACTCGTACTAAGACCAAGTTGAACAGCCCGAAAGGCTACATTATACTAATAACTAGCCAGAAGAGCCCACTTATACATGGCAATAAAGAAACACAAACATCTCCAGGTTTCAATGCTAGTGCCAGTGGTTTTTTTTTTCTATAACTAGAAACGTGCTAGAAACTGGTAGCTCGATGCTTTTAGGTCAAGCTCCCTCACCCGGCACATACTCATCTTTTTCCTATTTGACTGCATGATTTTAATTTTCATATAAGTAAACATAAAATTACACCATGTGTAAACATTCATTTCACTAAATATATATTTAAACAAAATCTGCAGTCCTGCTCTTTAGATATTAATATTTTTCAACAAGGTGTACTCAACATGTCTCTGCGATTGCACACAAAATCTTCTTTGATCCTGATAACATTCCCAACTCCTTCCTCCAGCGTTATACTGAACTAAGTAAATTTCATGTAGTAATCTTGCAGGCCCCCTCTACATACCGATATGCTTACTCCCGATTAGAAAATTGCACGTATTGTACCAATTTTGAAAAAGGGCAACCTTTCTTCAGTCTTATCGTCCGAATTTCATTTTATAATCTGGCAAAATAATTGAGCATATTGTTGCACACTACATTAATAACTTTTTAAATGGGCATAACATTCCAACTCCCTTTCAACATGGCTTCAGGAAGGGTCTATCGACAGTCGCCCAATTCTTTACAGGCATGGCCAAATTGGCAGTATATTTCTAGATTTTCAAAAGGATTTTCCTGTAGTCCCTTGTGACAAATTAATCTGCAAATCACATTTCCTTGGGTTTCCTGCCTTCATCCTGCCCTGAACATTTCCTTATTTATTGCATCTGAAACAGCCTGTTGCGGTTGGTAGACCACATTCTCTGTAACCTCTGGCATGCCCCAGGGGTGTGTACTTGGCCTACCTATGATTTTTTTTATTTGCTATAACATAACAGATGTCATACAAGCCCTTGCTAATATTAATCTTCACACAGATGACTGCATTATTTTTAACAATATAATACAGCTGAAAATTGGCTGTCTTTAGTTCAGCCTTGAACAGTATTTACGGGTGGAGCAATAAACTGGCATTAAACTAAACTTCTAAATCTGCACTTCTGCTATACTTAGGAGCACAGATATAGAAAAGTTTAGAAAAACAAAATGCCCCTGAAATTTTCATGCTCTATTGGCCAAGACCCTTTGACAGAAGTTATTGAGTACAAATATCTTGGAGTTACCATTACTGACAAGCTTATTTAGAGCACCTACATTATCGCCTCTAGAGCTTTTAGAATATTGTCTTTTTCACCACAAGCTTAAACATGCACCTCGTGACATAAAAACTTTAGTCTATAGAACTCTTATCAGACGGAAATTAGAATATGCCTGTATATTTGAAATCCCGTCAACAAAACCAGTACTGACTGATGCTTTTGAAAGAATACAGAGAAAAGCCATGCAATTCATTTTTTTAGATACAGCCGCGATGATCCTGTAACTGAACCTTTACATTCCAATGAATTTCTAAGACCTCAAATGAGGCGCGAGATGTCCCGACTGAAATTCCTGCATTGTTTAATGGTAATTTTTTTTTTATAAATCCCAGACCTCACATAACGCTTTCCTGGACTAGGAAAACTTGCCATTCCCACTCCCTCACACTCACCCCACCCCCTTATCTCGCTAGAACTAAACTCTATTCTCCCCCCCCCCCCCCCCAAACTGTTGAATAATGTAACCTGATACGTTTTCATAATTGATTTGATATGTGGGGTTTAATGTCCCAAAACCACCATATGACGCCGTAGTGGAGTACTCCAGAAGTCTTGACCACCTGGGGTTCTTTAACGTGCACCCAAATCTGAGCACATGAGCCTACAGCATTTGTGCCTCCATCGAAAATGCAGCCGCCGCAGCCGGGATTCGATCCCGCGACCTGCGGGTCAGCAGCAGAGTACCTTAACCAGTGGACCACCGGAACGGGGCTACCTTTTCATCATCCAGACTCAACTGAATCAATACAGAATTACATCCTCACTGTTTAATTTTTTTTCGATTTAGGGACGTTTGTTAACCAAATTTCGTTTTAGACTTTAAATTGTGCATTATACGTCTATTTTGCAACTTTCCACTCCTGCTTGGGCCACATTGTCTGCATTATGTTGTGAATAAAAAATAAATATAAAAGCTATACAGTATTTAAGAAAAGCAATATGGCCACCGTCACATCATGAGTGTCCCGTCTTGGAATTCTTTTGATTTACACCATTAATTGGTCAAAACACCTTCGTATGGAGACATGATGCACTAGTCAGTGTGACACTGCCACGAGTCAGTTCAATTGGACTTCTTGTTACATGCCAGTGTAAGCATTTCTGCCAATTGCCAGAGTGACAGATTAGTAAACTGGTTAAAAACGCATACACAACTGTTATGGCGTTATAGAACAGGGAGGTGTGAAAAGTGGCGTTTTCTCTGCCCCCCAAGTGCCACCTTGAGTGATCACTCTTCTAGGCTGAGATACATTGAGGCAGTCAGAGGCACTGCCAGCTAGTGTGGGGAAGACTGGACGCGAGCTTGTCAGCTGCATCGGAATTCTGCATGGTTTAGGGAGCGATTTTAGCCAATGCACCTCCAGAGGAATGATGACTACAAATAAAAAAATTGCCCCGCGCCCCCCTCCCCCTAAGAGCGATACCTCCCCCTACCTCTGTCGCCATTAAAATCTAGTCTGCATCCACAAATACAAAATCCTCCTGATGCACAAGTGCCTTAATTACCATCGAGCAGGCTGAAGGCATTTTCGACGGCAGCGCCACTACAGCGGTATTATGAATGAGGTCCAGCTTGGAACGACCAGTTTGCACACCTTCCAATTCTAGCAACTCCCGCTATGTCCAAAAACCTTGAATTATTATTCCCTAGCTAACAGAATGAAACATGCAGGAACAAGAAATGAAGCGACAATGTTAAAAGGAAGCATGCACAGGCATTAAGCCATGCACAATTGTGTTAACACACCACAAGGCAGTGAACTAGATTATTGACAGTGAGGAGGTTATTAACAAATGTTAGTCTTGAAACATGGGCATGTGAGTAATAAAGTTGAGCAAGGCAACTAAGCTTGTTGTCTTTTTAACCAAGTAGGAATCGGAACTACTGCCCATCTCTCTTCCGGTCTTCAGTGCAGCCGCGCTGAGGCGGCTATCCCTTTTAACCACGCAACGGTTCTTTGAAGCACAAGCTATGCCCAGACTCTACACATTGGTGTTCGAAAGTAAATCCCCGCCGGCGACAGCATGGATGAACAGGAAGGGATGATCAGACACCAGTCCTTGCACCACTCTGGAGTTGGTCGTAACTGTTCTCAAACAGTGCAGTTTAAAAGAAATTGTTCTTTGTGAACCAAAACCACCACATGTATATGGGGCATGTCAATGTGGGGCACAAGGATTCACTACCACTATCTAAGCGGGTGTTCTTGCATTATTCCGCCCCCGTCTTCATGGCCCAGCGACGCCCGCGTTCCAGAACAGCTGGGGCGTCTGAACTCGCCGGTCACTGCTTCGCCCACTGGGAGTATAACGACGCCCACTAAGCTTGGGGCTTTTTTGCACTTGCCTCTTGGGCATAGGCGTGCGCACTGGTGGGGGGGGGGGGGGGCAAAGTCAGCCACAAACATGATAGGGAGAGGGGACGCAGCGACGAACCTTCCCCCCCCACCCCCCCTCTGACGGTAAATCCTGCGCACATGGTCTCTGTTTTTTCGCACGTCTGCCCGGTGGCAACAGCGCAACGTGAATGGAACGGTTCGGCTTAAGTGTCGAGGAAGGGATATTAATGAATGTGTGTGCTTAGAATGCCATCCCTGTTTTCCCGTGCTGTTTTTATCGTTTCGAATATGCATCTAAACCAACCGCCGCGTCGGTCCGAGCCGAAACTACAGGCGCATTGATGCAGTCGAGTAAGAAATGTCACCACGCTGTTACACTTACCCCCGTATTCAGAAACGCTGCTTGACTCGACTTGCCGCCGACTTCAACGCAGCAGAAACGCGTTTCGAACGTGCTGCATTGAAAGCGGTTTCAAGTCAAGCTCAAAGTCAAGAAGCGTTAATGAATACGGGGGTTAGCGTTGGAACATCAAGACATCTTGCCAACAATGACGGAATACCAACAGCCGTGAAGAAACGGGCAACAGCGTGGCCGTGGCGGAGCGAAAACCACAAGCTTCCGAACCGGAGGAACGCACGAGCTATCATTGCCAGATGACCCGGCCGCCACCAAAGCAGTTAGAATACCAGCACATCTGCAGACTAACGTACTTCAGATCTAAAGCTTCCACGCGACCGAAAATTAAGCAATTTTCGCAACTTACGTGAGGACAGGCATGCTTATTGCGCTTCAGAAATCGCTCAACATTCGAAAGCTATGCGCCAAAGAACACTGCACTTGCCAATGCTCAGCGACCACTGCCCCACAGAACACCTACCACTGACTGCGCTTGCGCGATTTCATACATGATTTGCACGGAGGAAGGAAAGGTGATGATTTGTATCACGGAGGAAGAAAATTCCTCCGTGATTTGTATAATGTCGACGATGACACTGTGGCTGTGCTGCCGTGCTTTTTGCAATAAATATTGCTAGTTTTCAAACTGTTGCTTGAAATAAATATACTAGCATCAAAGAGCGTTCCAACGAGTATTAGCGGTGCGTGAATGCATTAGATATATTGTAACTACCGTGATCTTGAAAAAAAAAGGCAGATATTAATTCTATGTCATGAATGTTTCAGCAGCGCTTCCTCTATTTGAGAAAAATAGGGGAGGCGCTAGTAAGCAACGTTACTAGAAACGTTGCTAGTAAATATATTCCAGGCACTGTGGTACACTATAGTGGTGGTGGTAGTAGTGGTTAGAAGAGAAAGGCACCTAATTTCTGCAGCCCAGTCGGGAGCACGGCGCAGTGCCTACACTATTGTGCCTAGCAATGTATTTCTATGCAAAATAACCGTAGTTTTCATGGGGGAAGCTTTTCCTTCCTCTATGGTAGTTTCAGGTTCATCGGCTTGCATTGACTTGAAGCCGGTCACTTCGTCGGCTGCGCCGCCGCGCGCGCCATCTTATGTGACGCGGTTGAAATCATCCGCGGTCTGTTGCATTGCAACAGCGACAACAAACTTATCGTTGATCGTTATTTACCACTTCACACAGGCCTGAGCCAGGATGAGTGGCGGTGTCTACGGTGGAGGTGAGCCCGGCGTGTCGTCCGGACACTCCGATACATCCTTACTGAACTTTCGCATCGCCGCTGCGCACAACGCCGGTGCGCCTACGCTATGGCGATCGCATTTGGAAACAGCATGCGGTGGTTTTTGCCAAGCTCATGAGGCCGCCTTTTCAATTGTGACACTCGCTTAAGTAGCTGTATTGCTTCGCCGAGTAGCGCAGTCCGCGTGATACCACTGCTATGCGCGCCAAGGCAGCGTTATGGCACGTTGCCGCTCATCCAAAACAGTCATCCATTGAAAGGATCGCCGATCGAAAAGTACTAGCAGCGCTCGGAGATACCTATATGTGGACGTCTCAGACTGCGTTAATGTTCTTCACCTGCTCGTTTGTTACGTGCTGATATGCTTAAACGACCCGCCGCAGTGGTTTCGGTGCTCGGCTGAGCCGGAGAGCGCGGGTTGGAAGCAAAATACTTGAGACCCCCGTGCGCTTAAACTTAGGTGCACCCCAAGCGGTCGAAATCTCCGGAGCGCCTTACTACGGTGTTTATTTTAGTTATGTTGTGGTTTAGGGGCATAAAAACCCGACAATTATACACATGTTTACACGTAAGATGAAGGTTTATGTGTCTTTGACATGCGAATGATTCGGTTGAGCAGCGTTCCACATTTTTCCCATTAGGTACCATGTCATCGGTATTCCTTTTCTCGGATAACGGGCTTCGCAATTTTTTAAGCTAGATACCAAAATATATTCCGGCGACTTCGTAAAGTCTTTACCTGTAACAATTCTTCACTTCAAAAGTGTACGCCATGTTGGCTGAACTGATATTTTTCATACTGAGGACTTAAATGAAACTTGTACAAATGACGGTATGACATTCATACCCCTGCATTTGTAAGCACAGCTTGATCTCAAGCATCTGTTCCAACTGGAAACCTGTAGCATTCCCTTCCTGACCGATAATTATTACAGCATGCTGCAGCCTTATCCACAGCAGTCAGTAAGAGCGTTCAGTCCACCAGAAGAGCGAAATATGATGAATCGGCCAATGTGCCATATGAAAAACACCTTGTTGTTTGATGTCAAGTCGGTCAAATTGACAGTAATCCTTTCAGGTGTGGCGTACCTTTAGAAATTTCTGTAAATGTGCCACATTTGCACATTTTTGAAAGGCACCCAGTATTTTATTGCAACAAAGGTTATAAACTATAACACATTGATTTAAATGTTTTATAGCCTAATTTTCGGTTTTGTTTGTTTTGGGCACAGAAAAATTATACTTCGAACTTGCCTTGCAGAAAGCAGTCTTGTGAATGGCTCGTCGAGCATCGTGATGCCTTCAGCAAAGTAATCATATGCAAAAGTACACATCAGCATGAAATGCAATGAAGACACGTTTGTAATGCAGCACGTTCACTTCATTCAAGTCTCGATGTATCTTGTCTTGTCGACACAACCAGCGAATGCAATTTGTGTACACCAATGCAAACATACAAAGGGTTAATTAGGTGAATATGCTCGCTTTTCACATTTTCAGATGAGGTCGGAGCCTTGGTCTTTGACTTCGGACACTACTCCGTGCGAGCCGGATACGCTGGTGAAGACTCTCCAAAGGTAAGTGCACATCCAGTGGCATCCTGTTTGCAGTCGATACCGGTTATGAAGGACAAGCTTATGCTAAAGAAAAATAGTGTTGTCCTTTAGTAGTAAGAAGTCGTTGGAGCCAGCATCTTAGTATGGCAACTTGGCTTTGCCAGGGCAAGGACGAATTGAACTTTATCTGAATACCTGTTTTGTTAAGGCGGCATTAGTTCCACTACGTGCACTTGTCATTTCACTTATTTTGGGGTTTTAATATATCGGGTAATTGTGCACAACTAAACTTGCCTGTAATGAATCTAAGCAAACCTTCTGAATGTGCTCATGGATGCCCAATTCGTATCGCCATTTTGGAAAGAACCGAGGAAAGCACATATACCATAAACTGTATTCAATTGTATTCGAACACAAAATATTGTTACAGGATGACGGAAATATATGAAGGACGTGTGAGAGTCGCTCACCAACACGTCATAGTTCTCCAGACCTCCTTTCATCGCTTTATTACATTATAAAAGGGCGAATGTTGTATTTGCCTGGAATTGCACCCTCGCATAACTCACACTGATAACTCAATAGTATCTGAATTTTTTCGAATACTGCAAAGACTTTTGCGACAGACCTTACTAATACTTGCTCGTGAAGAGAACAGGATACGGCAAGGTTATTTTTGCATCATATGCGGTTCCATATTAAGTGCCATGAAGTACTTTTCATGTTGAATTCAACTTCATAATAATGAGGTGCAAAACTGTTGCTTTCTTTCCCCCTCCCCCCATTCAGGCAGAGATTCCTAGTACTGTTGGAGTCATAGAAGAACTACTGGCTGATGGACCTGACACAGAAACAAAAGACCTCGGTGCGTCAGCACCGGCTCCTCAGAAGAAGTACTTCATTGACACGACTAGCATTCATGTTGCAAGGGCTAACATGGACACTGCCTCGTTTCTCAAAGACGGCATGGGTATGTTGGCACTTCAACGTCAGCTCTTTCTGCGAAAAATTGAATTTCGATCATAGTGGACACAGATACACAAAGTCAAAATATGAAATACCATTTTTACATGTAAGCTTGTAACAAGTAATACCCTATGCATGTAATTACAGAAACAAGTTTCCTAATATTTGTGAATTCCTTTTTTGCAAGACCAAAATCACCACACTTGCCACGAGAAGACTTTTGGTCAGGGAGATAATGCTCTAAAACAAAATGTTAGTGACGATGCCATCTTGAAGTTCCAGTATTAATTGCCTTGTCACCATAGATTCTAACAGCACCTACTAGGGCCTGCGTAATTAATTGCTTACCCAGTGAGCATTTACAACCTGCAGGGTCCAGAGATATAGCATACCAAGGTTCAGGATATCTCATTGAACCAGAGTTGCCAAAATACGAAAAAAAGCTGTTTCGAATCATTGATGTTGCGTGCAGAGATTTTGGCACGAAATTTAATGATGATACTTTTGACATTGATTTTCTGTTCTATTAATAAAACATATGGTGGTGAAACTAACAAATATAGTTTTCAGAGCATTTCTGATCAGTCTAAATTGATTCATTGTTAAACTTTAGTCTATATTTAAGGTAATTTCTTGTTGAGTTTGTCGTCACTGATCAGTCTAAATTGATTCATTATTAAACTTCTACATTTAAGGTAATTTCTTGTTGAGTTTGTCGTCATCGTAATGGGTTTGACTCTGCCATGTCAATATGTGACGGCTTTCACTGCACACTGGTGTGGAGAAGTAAGGTCCGAGAAAGCGATGAAAGGCTCATTTTTGCAGACTGCATGAAGTTCTCCAAGTTTGTAGGCAGTTTCAGTTCAAGTGTATGGTTCTAAAAAAATATTCTCAAATAAGTTATTTTAATGCATCAATTAAATTCTGATAGATAGCTATGCCTTATGTAAGAACACTCAAAAGAAAAATTATTGCCCTTGCAAAATAAATAATTACCCTTGAAAAATGTTAACAATGCCACTTTTGCTGTGAGAGGATGTTGTGTCAGAAATAGTTCAGAAACCAAAACCACACAGGCAGAAATGATGGAGTGAAATTCTTGCATCATCTCGCCATGACACCGCAGTTTTCTACTGCTTCTGCTGAGACCTACACTATGCCTCGTCTGGCTAGTTTCTGGAAATTTCGTCTAGCCTGCGTGGCCAAAGTGTGAAAAGATGCCTTGAAGCCTGTGACATTGCACTGTCGTACAGGTGTGTGGGATCCAACATAAAGATGTTAAATGAGGGAATCTCAGCTTCATGTCTCAGTTTGATAAGGAGCCTATGGTCACTGGAATAACTGAAGTAGAGCTCTCAAAGATTGGATATATATCAGTCTAAACAGATTTCCACTTTCAGGAGATGCAATTTTTCTGGACTTTGATGGCCTTTCAGTTACGCATGTAGCATCGAGCTTACGACCACCAGGAGAAGAGTGTGGGGCCTTGTTTCAAACATTCATGGCCATGCATATTGTTGATAAAATGTGTTCTTCCAGTTAAGGGACGTCATAGCCACACGTGCGCTACACACTTTCTGTTGCAGTTGAGGACTGGGACCTGTTCGAAAAAGTGCTGGACTACACCTACAGCCGACACGTCAAGTCCGAGCCACACCTCCATCCTGTACTCATGTCTGAAGCATCGGTATGTCCAACTTGGTAACAGTTTTGTTCAGAAGAAAAGAATGTAACGGCTGGTATGTAGTCAACTGTAAATACAAGCGTACGGTCATATTCATAATGTTGCACCAAAAATATCAAGACGGACACAAAGAATGATACACCACAAGTGCTACTAACAACTTTAATGGAAAAAAATTGAAGGCACACATATCTTCCAACCGTCCTGTCGTTTTTCGCGCTACATTATAAATGTGATCCGACACCGACTAAGTCCAGCAACAAGTCCTTCTACGAACATATTGATTGCATATCAAAGTGAGGTATTCGGATGGCTGGTTTTGCATGATTAAAATACTGCGTGCTACAGTTACTGGGACATCAGAAGTTGGAGAGGACACATACTATGAAATAGGCACGACAGTTGCTAAGTGGACACAACATTGTGCTTGTCGTTTCCACTTTGTAATGTGTGTACTCCTCGACTTCTTATGTCCCAATACAACTGTAGTGTGGTATATTAATTGTGGATTGCATAGGGCACTCCAGCCACTGGTTAGAGCAAGCGAGGTCATATTTCAGCAAGTCGGGAGCCATGTTTCTAAACGTGATGGATTTACTTCATGTACAGCTTTATGAAAGGTGTGCTACAAAATAGCAATCTTAGTTTTGACATTTTAAATATTTCTGTTATTTTACACTGCAGTAACAACTTGGCTGATGCTGAATGTTGCTGTATATATGCGTCTCTTAGCCTGCGTGACTCGTCTCGAATCTCGATACTGTATAACAAGCCTGGATATAACGAAATATCAATTATAACAATGTAAATTAAGAATAGTTTTGCAAAGGCTATAGTGTTATAAATACACCTTTATAACGAATTCTCGAGTATAACAAAGTTATTTCCTTGTAAGATGCAACTCGGTTTATATGAGGTTTCAGTGTATAACCTTTCTGGTTCTCAGCAAGCTTGAATAGCAGCACAATTGGAATGCTGGTAAGGTGCAAGTTTTAAGCGCTGAAGTAAATTTTAAAATTTGTTGTACTAAGGCCATATAAACTTGTAAGAAGTGTTCCAAACTTATGTACCAAAACAATGTGCTTGGACATATAACATCACTTAATGATGAAGTGTGGCTTCGTGACAGGGCACATTTTCCCTCAGTAGGCAGCTTCACAGCGCAGTGGCTGCATGCTTCAGTCAAGCTGTTTTTTCAAGTGGAGTACTTCCAGTAAAATTCGTCCATCATTTGTTCATTTCTAATATTTTAAAATTTGGGAAATTGTAAAGTTGTTGAAGCAAAATGAAATTGTCTAATATTTTTTTTGAATTTTCGAGATTCCCAAATATTTGCACAGGGTTGTGCATGATGCTTACATGTGTATGCATGTTTACAGCTTTTACTTTGTTTCTTTCTTACTTGAGGACTTTAGAACTGCATAGGTTTCAAGGTCACGCATGCCATTTATAATTAATTCCACTAAGAAATAAGGACATCAGTGAACCTCAGGGCGACAGCAAACACCAAGACATCTATCAACCTCTCAGTTTTACTGGACACGTTCAAATATCCCGACTTGAATAAGAAGTAGAACTAATCGAAAAAAGAGTGGGGATTGATTGAGAGCTTATTCCTTTTTTTGACACAATCTAATGAAGCCGACGGACAGTGAAACTAAGGAAGGTATTGGGACATCATTTGTATGCTTTAACTCTAGCTAAGTAGTTATGAATGAAAAGGAATCAAAGTGGACTAAAAGTGAACCCGACATAGCCATAGACCAAACCTACAACTATTGAACAGTGCCTCTGATTCCCCGCCAGTCGAGTATAAAATCGGTTGTCCAAAGGTTGTGGGTTCTGCGTGGACGGTTGATTTTTAGTCCATTTTGATTCCCTTCCATTTGTTTCATAGTTACTATGCTACAGCTAAAACATACAAGTATGTCCCTTGTACTTTGCTTCATCTGTTGGTTGCATTAGATTAATGGTGCCTGAAGATTTTGTTTTCAAAATCTGAATTCGGTGTGCTACACCTCAGCATAGTGCATGCAGCGCCCGAAAGGAAGAAAAATTCTTTGGCGGAGATGAAACATTTACGATATTTCTCGCAGTGGAATGCCCGAACAAAGAGGGAGAAGCTCACTGAAATAATGTTCGAAAAGTACGGCGTGCCGGCATTCTTCCTCGTAAAAAACGCCGTCTTAGCAGCGTTTGCGAATGGACGCTCGACCGGCATCGTTGTCGACAGCGGAGCCAGCCAGACCTCGGCCGTCCCTGTGCACGATGGCTATGTTCTGACGCAAGGTGCGATTTTGTTTTTTAAATCCGCGTTTTATCTACGCTGTAGTCTTCATTCCTGCCGCTCCTGCAAGGCCTAGTTGCCCAGCTTTGCGCACCAGCTTCTGTCCTTAATTTGATGAGCTGATTTGTTCTCATTGCAAGTTTGCAGAAACATATAATCATTTCCGTCTTCATTATTCAGTATGGCATGTGGTCAGTCGATCAGCGTTATTCGTATGAAAAGCATTAATAAACATCTTGATGACTGGAGAGTCGGTCATCATCTCAGATAGGGGTGCAATTGAGGCTATAGATGGTTGATAATTGTCAAAGGTGCATAAACAATGGACAGGGACATAAGTAGTGAGATACTAATGTTTTGTCACTTTTTATTCATTTGTGCACTGTTTAGGCACTGTTTTGACCATCATCACGAACTCAGGACATGTCCATTTTGATTGATTCATTTATTCATTCATTGATAGATCAACTAGCTCTGCAACAACATTTTTACTGCCTAAAACAGGTGTATTGATTTCATTGCTGTGTGAGCTCTGTAAGCAAGAATGTCTAGCATTTGATTCAGTGATGCACACCAAGATATAACAGCTTCTCACAAATTTGAATGAAAGCAAAGCAGTGACAAGCAAAAACAAGTACACTCCTGATGTTATCAAGGTTGGTCAATGGTAGCTTTCCTGCCAAGAACCTGTCTTTGTGTCCTGACAACAATGAGCCTTTTTGTCAAAACATTGGTTAGGGTTGACATGCTTTTTCCAACCTTTGCTGAATACTTGGAAGCCTCCGTGTTCTCTTTGAGTTCTGGGTGATTTTGGATTCTCTTTATGTTGAAATAAAAAACACGCTTCACTATATAGGGGCAGTAAGTGATTTATGTCAGTTAATGGCAATTGAAGTTAAATATTCTTGGTGTCTCTCACAATCGTATGCGTGGCTTTGAGACGTTGAACCCCATTAATTGTGAATTTCAAATGTGTATTTCCTAACGTATCTGCTGCTTTTACTATTCTTAGTTACTACACCAAGTAGCTAGTGCATTTATTCTTGACAACATGCCTTTTTGCACATACCAGCACCCACCGATTAATTATAGAAATGACGATGTGCACTTTTTAATATTGCTAGAAACAAGTAATCATAATAGCGTGCAATTGCCTTTTAGCTTACATTTCAGGCCTGCCACTGTGCACTTGGTGTCAGTGCAAATGCTCATGTACTTTTGTGTTGTACCGTTGCTGACTCATTACAATCAAACCCACATATATTGAACCCACATATAAAAAATTGCTGTGCACGTCAAACACTTGTGAATCTCCTTGAGTATATTTTCGGCACAAATATTTTTCATTTTGAATTATATGTACATTTATATAGAACACTTTTGTGATCACCTTCTGATTAGATATATCGAGGCGCAACTGCAGTTTAAAATGATCAACCGCGTAGTGGGCATCGGGACCGCATAGTTCTGCAGCTGTCATGCCGTACTTAGTAAGCACTGCATAAGAGTACCATTCTCACTCTTTCCAGCTGTCGTCAAATCGCCGCTGGCCGGCGACTTTGTCACCATGCAGTGCAAGCAGTTCCTCGAAGAGCAGGGCGTCGACATCGTCCCAACGTACATGCTGGCCGGCAAGGTATAATGTTGCCTAGGCTTTTCTTTTGGTCGCTATAAGTTCTCTCACACAGCTGTAGTAGAGTGTGTGCCAACAAAGTCTCGTTGGGTTTCTAGCTGATTATTCCTGTTGCATGTTCACTCTTCGTTTCGAAATTCAGGCCATCACGGTGAATGACTGCAAACAAGAGGTATAGTTGGATACGACTTGGGAAGTCCATAAAGGCCTTGTCCGTGCGACCGAAGTGCGGCAGCCGATCCCCTCCGCGACGAAAAAGATGGTCCCGCTCAAGCACTTGACAATGTTCTCTAAATGCTGGGCTAGTGGCTGTTCGGCTCATGTCATACTGGAGAGCGGGCCCGCACTCCAGCATGACATTGAGAAGGAAATGCCGGGGACATCTAAAGCTGTATTCGACTATAGAGTGCAAGCTCGGTTCGCGTGTTTTTGCTCGGGATGTCTGGCTGAAGCACCTGTCTTGTTTAAGTTCCAGCAGTGTCATGACCTATGTGTTGCGGGTAATCATTTTTACTTTGTGTTGCCTGTAACAGCCTACTGTCGACGAGCTGCGACGGCACAACACTTACACCCACTTGCGCAGCCTTTTCCACCAACAGCGCTTACAGTAGCACGTTTTCATTGAATATACACTCAAACCGGAATATAACAAACTCGTATATAACGGAATGTCGGTTATAACATAAATGAAAAGCAGTCTTGCATTAGATATAGTCAAGGGAATATATCTTTATAACGAACTCCCGGATATAACTCACTTATTTTTGTGTGAGATGTAACCTTGTTATAATGAGGTTTCAGTGTAGTCAGTTTATGAAGCTTCCATACAGTGCAACAGAATCAGCATTGCCGCTTATGTATTGTTACCGATTGCCAACCTTTAGATGGCTCTCAAAAGCAAACGTGAAAAAAAAAAAAAGGCACAAGCAGGGCCACAAGCTTTCTTGCAGATGTGCTCAGATGCCTTGTGGAGGAACATTGATACAGTAAAGAATTGTGTGGAAAGTGACTGTGAGTGTTGGAAGAGAATCTCATTAATGTACATTTGACCCATGTGTCCAGATGGACATTATATGCTCTATTTAATAAGCTTCACACTTTTAGTTGGTCCAAAAAAGGTACTTGACATTTAATTCCCTAATCACCTAACAGTAATAAATAGTATTACTGAATAGGTTTTCTAGTTTGCTGCCTTCCTATCAATGCATTATGCAAGTATTGTTGTATTTTGCATCTAATTGCAAGTGTAATCATATTTTCTATTTTCTCAAGTGGGACATTGTTAAGCCATGGTTGTCTATAAATGTATCAATGGATCTTTACAGCTTTTTACCCACGAGGGTGAATTCCAGTTTTTATCAAAGTTTCCCATTCTGTCCTATTTCTCCTGTCTGAACACTTCTCCTTTTTTTTCTTAGAGGGAATGGTTGCCTTTTCTTTTTCCAGCATCATCCTGCAAGCTTTTGATTATGCTACAGCTTATGCTGTTTCGCACATGTTACTAAAGTGTTGTCACTTTCAAAGCACTTAGCGAAGGTTCTGGCATTTAACTATAGTAGCATTACAGCACCTTCGCTACTTTGCTGTCTGGTTTGCTAACCCACCACAAATTATGTGCGCTTGTCACCTAGTCACCCTAGTAAATTGATGTTTACTAGTACACAAGAATTCTTCAGGAACCTTAGTCTCACCTCTGTGAGGTAAACCGTTGGAACCCCTTTGCAGGAGGCCGTCAAGGAAGGAGAGACGCCCAAGTGGACGAAAAAGAACAACTTGCCTGAAGTGACCAAGTCGTGGCACAACTACATGGTCAAGGTGAGATGCACTTAATTAGCCTTCGAGGCTCAAACGTACATTGCAGTTACTGTGTAGTGTTTACGAGATGTTTTTTCTCTTTAAATAGGATGTGTAATTGACTCCTGCTTGGTGTGATATAGTAAGTACAAAAATGAATGTAAGCATAGTAAACATCATGCACAATATGAACATGCGGTGAACATATACCTGTCCTGAATTTTAATCGTAGTAAGGATATCAGCTTTGTTATAACAAGGCCTGACACTACTTTGCATAAAGTAGGCCCGCATGACAATGTGTAACCTTATAGCACCCTATCATGCTATTTATTTTGTGTTGTTATAATAAAAGCTGGGAAGTACCTCGTTATTGGACTAACCTTATAGCATTCTAAAAGGGCGAGTGTGTTGTCGCATGAGTGTTTGCCATTCGACATTGTGTCGCTTTGCTTTATTGTTTATGTACCAGCCCCTCAAAACATGGCACGGTTATTAACTGTCACTACAAATGTGATAGTGTAGTGTCAAAATCGGTTCCTCCAAATAAAAAGTCTTGTGTTTAACCCACTGTCTGCACCGTCATGACGTGACAGTATTGGTTACTTTGAAGAAGGAAAAGTAAATTATAGGCTTCTGCGAACTTTAGGTTTGAAGCAAATCCGAAGTGAATTGTGGTGTCGTCAAATAATTTCTAATTTAATTCAGATAGTATTTATCACAATTATAAAAAAAACGAGCATATTTCTCATGACCCAAGTAACTCGCACGATATCTTTTTTTAACGAAGCGTGTTCAAATTACATTCTTTAGTGGTTCAAAGGCAAGTTTAAGCAACTTTGAATAGTAGCAGAATTCAACTTTCGGTGGAATGCTAGTGATAACCTGTAAAATAAGTTACGGTTTAAGCTTTACAATACTGTGAATGTATAAGCCAGCATAACAAGCATTTAAACAATAAAACTGATGGATCGATGTGAGGGTAATATGTAGTGCAGATTTTTTCTGAATATTCATGGCTTCGCACCCCTCTACTGCAGTGAAACCACCTTTACCGGGGATTCCATGTGGATCAATATACACTTATGAGTTCATTTCTAATACTTTGAAATTTCTGATAATGTAAATTTGAATAGAGGAATTATAATATTGTCATATTCATTCAAATAGTCTAACTGCTCAAATGTCCACTCAAGCCTCGAAAATAAGAGAGTGATCAATAACGTGGACCGGAATGGATGACATAAAACAATGGCAATGACATCAAGCTAGGTAGTCGAGTGAAAGACTACCAAAGGGACTAGCCGAGGCAATTTTTCCATTTTTCAGGAGGTTATCCAAGATTTCCAGAGCTCCGTTCTTCAAGTTCTAGACTCTCCTTATGACAAAGAGTAAGTTGCCGTTTCCATGAAAACCCACAGTTATTCAATCATGCCAGTTATTCAATCATGCCAATCATGCAAAACTGCGTTCCAAAATTGGAAGCGTGGCGGTTTGGGCTAGTTGGTATGACAAGACGATTGCTATAGCGTGAGAACTTCTTCTTATCCCTTTGTCGTCAATCTGTTTTCACGCTACAACAATCGTTCAAATATGGGACACGCAATAGGCCCAATTTTGTGGGAGTTAGCAGACTGTCGCGCCATCTGGGAGCGGCAACGCAAAAGAAATAGTGCGTTTAATAGCTGGTGTGCTGATCAACACGTAGCGCAACAATCTGCTCACTTCTGATATATCGGCCAATGGCATGTCAGTATTTTGATACATGGAGTTTATAAGGAGTTTCGCAACTCATATAATTGAATAACTGTGACGAAAACCTTTATTTGTGGTCATAGGAGACATATTAAGTGCTGTCTTTTGTCAGAGGAATTTCAATGTATGTAAACTAACAAAATATAAATACCAAGTTCTTTCGGTGAAAGCTTCATTGCACCGCACGTGTCGAACTATATTCCATTTCATTCATCAAGTGTGATGCTGTGTAAGCTAGCAACAGTTTTTACAGTCGATGCATTCACATCAACAAATAGTTCAATAGTTTTATCACCCATAATGTGATTTTAAATTTTTCTTTTTCATAATAGGCTTTGTAATAAATGAAGGTGCCTTAGAAATACTCAAACTCCATTACTTATACGCCTGTGAACAAGTTTCTCTGGATCGTTTGTGGCATCTGCAGTTAGTTGCGTTAGTGCACAGCCAAAGCCAGTTGCGGAGGCCAGGTTTAGTATCACGAAATCAAAGTGTGAGACTCGCCGATTTACACACCTTGCTGACCGAACCTCGTGGGTAGCGTGAAAAACATGAAAGCAAGCATAGTCTCGAAAGCTTTGATGTCTATAGTGCATTAGGATGGCTTTCTCTCTACAGAATTAAGCAGACATATTGATTGCAGTAAGCCAACGTGCTCATTACTTTTAGAGGCTGATGTGCTCAAGGCCAACAAAAGAGGTTTTATTTTCTAAGTGCCTTTTTTGTTTTTCCAGAAAGACAGCTGAAACGGCACACACAAAAGCTGAAGACATAATTTGTATTTCTTAAATTCTAGCTGATTTATACATTTATTTTGTCTCTGGTATCAAGGTCCACAAAGAGTGCACTTCTCTTGCATTCAAAGGGTGGTGTACAGTTGGAAATCACAGAATTTTGTAATAATGCTGTTACACAATCCTTAGTCTCTTCTGTGTGACTTCCACATTAAAGGTGCATTCTGCAAAGTGTTCTTGCATGACAAACGCTTGTGTCCTTAAATCACACGTGCACTGCTTGCAACGAATTCTCACTTTTGCAAATTGACTCGGTTAGCACTATTTGATGTGGCAGCAAGTCAAAAGTTTGGGTAAACAATACACCAATACATTTTAGGCATTAATCATAGTTTGCTGAGTATGCTCACAGCTACAGGTACTGCTATATTTTTCAGCCCTTGGCTGTAACCTTTGTGTCGCCTACTAATCACTGCTAACTGAATTAGGTAGTAGGGCTCAACTTGTAGGCGCAGCTGTGTTATTCATAACTTGAGCAGTTATAGTAGTTATCGTACGTTGGGCGCTCTGTTGCATGCAGGATGACGTGATTTTTCGTGCACATTAGAAGTTTAAGTAAAGAAGTCTTGGACTGTTTGGTTTATTTATCCCCCCCTCCCCCGCCAAATAGTTGTTGCAATTAAATGGCATGTCTTATGTACGCATATTAGCCCTTCCTCTTACTATGTAACCACTACCTCTGCAGTGGTTCCCAGAAATACCGAAGCACCAGATCAAGATTAACAGAGTAGCATTGTGAAACTTGCAGTTCATTAAACATGACCACCGTAATCTTTGAACTTCGTGCATCATTTCTAATGATCGTTGACCAAATTCAGCTTGTATGTGTGTATGTATGGGTGCATGTATGTATGTATATATGTATGTATGTAAGTATGCACAGGGGCGATGGAAAGCAAGGCGAACATTGTGGCTTTTACATCTGCTATTTCGCGCTTCTTTTCAAGCGGCTGTGGGATGGATGGTTATAAGAAGCCACTGCAGTCATCCATGATTAAATCAAGGATTTCACTAGCATCGTTTCGTTGCCACCAAGGACGAATGGTGATGAAAACACCGAGCTGCCCTGTTCGTATTTCGTTCTATCACCACTGCACACCTCGTTGTAACAAACTTGCAGGTTACACCAAAATACCCTCATTATAGGCAAAAATTCATCATAAATTTATATTCATAACACTGTGGCAAGACTTGTGACTTATATATCAATGTGACATTTACTTCATTACAACTGATCATTTGTTATATCTCTGTTTGGTACATCAAAATATGAGTGTACGTATGTATTATGTAAGCATGTATTTATATTTTTGTCGCTCTGCCAATTGTGTACCAGGACAGTGGAAAACATGCCCACAGTGCATTACGAGTTCCCCAACGGCTACAACCAGGACTTTGGCTCAGAACGATTCCTCATCCCCGAATCTCTCTTCGATCCATCAACAATCAAGGCAAGTTGAGCAGCCCTAAAAAAACCACTGGACATTGTTGGCCAGTGGAGACCGATGACTCATCATGATATGTAGCAACAATGGCTTATGCTTGAGGTCATGCCACTGATTGGGAACTTCTTGCTCCAACAGCTTTCATGCGGCACCTCCCGAAATGCAGAGCTTTGCATTACTGCTTCATGATAACAGCATGTTTTTTTATTGACCCAGAGGACTAATTGAAACCGTTAAATTCAAAAGATTTGGCTCCTAATCAACCTTTGTATTTATACCTATTGCTCCATTTTTTACTTAATTGACCAATGTTAGAAATTTTACGAAAGTTCCAAAGCCTCAAATAAGGAAAATAGAGCTTTTCCCCTCAGATTCTTTTTTATTTAAATTGGTCCTGCATGGCCTCACTAAAGCATTTAAAATATTTTCTATAGAAAACCCTCAATCTTTTGCCTAATTTCTATTTCACATTTATTTGCATTTTTTACACGCTTGCAGAGTGCGCCCGGTCAGACGATGATGGGCGTGGCGCAAGTGGTCACAACCAGTGTCGGCATGTGCGACATTGACATACGGCCTGTAGGTGTATTTCAATTGACCGCCTTTCGATTTTCGATTCATTATGTGTAACATTTCTACCTGTGATAAAGTAAGACTGCAATGACATGAGCCGTGACACTTTTTTTTTCTTTAATCGTTAACAGAGTTTGTACGGAAGTGTCACAATCACGGGAGGCAACACCCTTCTGCAAGGTTTCACCGAAAGGCTGAATCGTGACCTGTCTGCCAAGACTCCGCCTGTGAGTCGAATCTCCTCGATGATTTGCTTTGAGTTACTCATTGAATGTCCGTGCTGTAGGCTCTGAACACTGTTTGTAGGCCTGTTCGAATAGTAAATTTTAGGTTCAAAGCGAATAGTGATTTTGATCAAATAATTTCGAATCGAATTTGAATGGTATGTATGACACATTAAAGAATGGGAATATTCATCGTGACCTAACTAACCTGCACAATCTTTTTTTTTAATTGAAATAGGGGCTGTATGCAAATGCTTTTTTTTTTCATTTAAAGGGAGTCGAAACAACCTTGGGTAGTAGTTTTGGTAGGATGCAACAAGTAATAACCTGTAAGATACTTAATGTTTTGAAATTTATTATACTTGGAGCATATAAGCCATCATAACAAGCTTTTTTTAAAAAAATGAATTGATTTGAAAGTAACATGTTCCCTTAAAGGGGCCCTGCAACACTTTTTCAAGTAGCCATGAAGCCAGTAAACATGCTTGTTGCCTCACATATTTACCGCCTTAAAGTTTCTAGAATCAGTCCAGTACGAGCGGAGTTTCCAAAATTTGTCGCACGCTGCAATTGCTTTCTCTCTTCTCGTCCCCACGAAATAGCTGGAAGCTAAGCAGAAAGGAATGGCACGGCGAAAGAGAATGCGTCACATGCACCTCGTGATCTTGAGCACCTCTTTTTTTTTTTTTTTCAAATACGTGGTCTTTCAGTGCGATCGCACATGTACTCAAGGACAAGCGGCAGCATCCCGTGGCGGCCCCAGTAACGACGAGTGCATTATGCTCAAACCAACTAATGGCTGTGACCAGAGCCGTATATTCCTTGTTGACTGTGACAAGTGGTTTTTGAGCTTGTAGTGTCATTTACCGAGGGAAGAAAGCAAATAGCCTCGACTACCGATTGGTAGCATTTTCTGACCATGCATGCTCAGTAAGTGTTGCAGGGCCCCCTTAAATTTGAAGGGGGCTTCGCAGCAAAACGAATTTCCCCTGAATAGGTGTTTTCACGGCTTAGTACACCCACATTCTAGTGGAACCACCTTTACAGGTGGCTACATGCGGACTAATATACACCTATTCGTTCATTGCGAATACTTCGAAAATATTCGATAATTTCAATTCGAATTGAAGTGAATTCGAATACTCAACTATTCGTTCGAATATTCAAAGCATTAGAATATTCGCGCAAGCCTAACTGTTTGCAAATGTCCGCTAATCGCGCGAGGTATAATACCATAGTGCATCCTGTTCAGCTGACGGTGGTTTTGAATGACGAACTGTTTTGTTGAAGTAAAATGATTTCGAAACATTTTTTATAACCTCAATATAATAAGTGATGGGGTTCAGTGTCCCAAAACTAAGATGTGGTTATCAGGGACGCTGTAGTGGAGGGCTTTGGAAATTTCTATTGCCTGGGTTTCTTTAAAGTCCACCCATACCCAAGTACACAGGTCTCAAGCACTTTCTTCTCCATCGAAGATGCGGCTGCTGTGGCTGAGATACAATACCACGACCTTAGTTTCAGCATTTGAGCACTGTGACCATTTAACCACCGTGGTTGGTATGCCTATAATGTGAGGCGGTCTGAAATAATCTCTTGCGCTGTTTAAAGAAGCCCATAATCTCAGCTGCTGTTAGTGGAGGGTAAGCTTTTGCTCAGCTCTAGTGCTTCATTCCTTCAGTTCACTACCCTGAGCGTTAACAATAAACCAGTGTACTCTTTTGAATGGCCCTTAGAATAGAGCTACTGAGTCATCTGATATGACACAAATACTTTCAGAGCATGAGGTTAAAGATCATCAGCACGAACGGAACTGCCGAGAGGAGATTTGGCGCCTGGATCGGCGGATCCATCCTGGCATCTCTGGTGAGCCCGAGCCCTTGTCATCTACCTATGCAGCTTTTGCAGAGTGGTTTCCCATTGTAACGACACGCAAACGGCGAATGTCAAGTCGACGAGGGTAGTTGAAATAGCATTTCAAGGCGAGAGCACTTCAAACTGCGCCTGGATGCTCTCAGCGCAGCAGAAGCACCCTTGCTCTACCATTGGATGACGATGCTCCCACTCCCGTTTGACCGTTTAAACACGCCGGTTCTGAAAAGAGCACTTTCAGCATGCTTTGGAGTGCTCCTGTCCTGCCAATGGAATTTTCCACTAATTTCTTGATTTACACTCGCACCTCATTACAATGAAGTTGCATCTTACGCGAGAATAAATTTGTTATATCTAAACATTTGTCATGAACATATATTCTTACCACTATATATATTGCAAGACTATTCTTTATTTACTTTTTATCACAGATATTTCGTTATATCCAGGTTCGTTATATCGAGGTCTCAGTGTACTAAAGTGGCGTGTATGGTATTGAAGTTTACTCGATCTCAAGCATTGACCTTTCACTCTGAAATAAAATGTTATTTTGCCTTGGTTGTTTCTTCAAGTGCGCTTCACCAGGTTTGGGCATCACAAAGTAATAAATGCAGCGCGTGGATTTCATTGGCAGTTGCGAAGTATAAAACAGCCGCGTAGCATGAGAATGGCTGAGATTTTTATGCGAAGGGCAGGGCTCATTTTTTATAGCAAACTTTTCGTCGAGCGAGACTTGAAGTCATGCGCTGTGCTACCACTGAGAATCCATGCGAAAGCAAAATAGTAAGGAAAGGACAGAAACAAGGGAGGGTGGTATTTGTCATGTGAACATTACACAGTGCCTCGGCTGCAGTATTCAACAGACTTCTGTTAAACGAATCCTGAAGGCACCAGAAAAATGTGTTTCGCTTACAGAGACATAAACAGGGGTGAAGAATTCAAGTGCAGAACCAAGCGTATTATAGACAGTTCCATTCAAGGGGAGATGCGGGTCAAAAAAGCAAGACTTTTTTTCCAAAAAAATTTTATAGTGTGTTTTGTATTCCTGTTGTGGTCTTAGGTAAAATTTTGTCAAATGTTGTGTTCTAAGGTAGCCAGAAACTTAACCTACCATGTTTCAGGAAATTTTGTAGAGAAAATCTCGGTGAAAAAAGAAAAAACGAAACCACATTGAAATCTGCGACATTGCCGGTTGAGATTTCAGCAGCAAATGTAAAAGTGAGATTTTCGTATTGATTTGGTCATCTAATAATGAATACATGATAATGAAATTAATGACACTGAAGTCTTTATTCTAGTACAATTTCTTAGTACACTCAACCCTCAATATTACTAACCCAGATATAACAAATTATTGGTTATAACAAAGTAAATGAAGAACGACTCTGTCACAGGTACAATGCGTTATATGTTTTATAACGAATTATCAGATATAGCAAAGTATTTTCGTGACAGGTGTGACTTTGTTATAATGAGGTTGTAGTGTCTAGACAAATTTGTTTTACTTTAGTGTGCCTTTGCATCACTTGAAGCCTTCTTCTTGCTATATATCTGGCTCTTCTCTCGGACTGCATTGTTTACCTGCTGCTTCCTTGATTCCAGGGTACGTTCCAGCAGATGTGGATTTCTAAGCAGGAGTACGATGAAGGCGGCAAGTCTCAGGTGGAAAGGAAGTGCCCGTGAAGGTGAAGGAGTGAGCTCCTGGAGATTGAGAGAAAGAGGAACACTTAAAGGCAGAAGGATGTGCCACCCCTCTCCCCCTTTCCCCCGTGTTGAACTATTGTGTTTCATTTGTACATACTGTAGACGACCCGAGATTGACACCATTTCGAATAAAATGGTTCTTTCTTGCTGCGGAGTGCTCACTGTGCTAATACTGTGACCGATCGTTCAGTAGATTGAGCTTGGCATTCCCCAAAGCAATGTGGGGTCTGGCAGAGACAATGTAGTTGAGTGCTTCAAGTTAATCGGCAATAAGTACTTCCTTAATCCGTGAGGGGTGTGGAAAAGTGTGAATTTGCACCCCCAAGTTTTATTACTTTGCAGTCAATGCATCGAAGCTGATATATATAAAATGAAGACCAGCTGCCCAGAGTCATTTTAAATAAGATATGGAAATAGTCTTACTTCATTTTCATTTAATTTTTATTAGCAGCAATTATACATGCTGACTGCTTTCCAAAACATTAACTGTGTTGACTATGCCGTGTTTTGTACCAGTTTTGGAAATTAATTGCCTATGCCTGTGTATAGTAAAGCAACAGCAGTAAAATATGGAAGTGGAAGTCCTTTTAATGAATATGATTTATGCTAGTTCGCACCTGTCGGCTTTTATTGTGGCCGAAACCAGCACTGCGGAATCGAACCCACGATCCCAACCCTAGCCACAAATGGCGCAGCTTCTGAATAGCCATGAATAGTTTCAAAACTTCAGACATTGTTTGGAGCGATCTATAAACTGCCTGCCATTAAACTGATCAACATTTCAACATAAGATTGATGATTTGCATCACTTTTATGAAGGAAGTAGGAAGCTATCTTGATTAACCGTTTCTTTTTTAATTATTGTGGTAAGCTATTGTCTGAAGCCCTAATTCTGTTGTTAAACTACAGTTAGGCATTGCCATAGCGAAGCAAATTGTATTCCTGTTGAGACTGATGAATTTAAAGTAGCATTTTACTGAAATAAACTAAGCGCAAGAAACCACTCGAGTTATTTTACAACGAAGGTTTGCTGATCACTACGCGCCTACATGCTCGGCTGCTGACCTGAAAGTCGCCGGTTCGATCCATGCTGCGGACGTATGACTTTTAGTGGGCACTACTTTGAACTCGGGTAAACATAATTATCCACTCTATCGAACTATTTTCGATCACGGCAGTGCTTTATCGTCAGTGAATAGGAATATCTACGGCTACATCGAACAACCATTCGGCTTTTTCTCCCAGAAAGGGTGTTTCCCGTGTATTGCGGGGAACGGGCAGTGTGATTTGGAAGACGTCACGGGTAGCGAATAGAAAGTTACTCGGCTGCTGACCCGCAGGTCGCGAGATCGAATCCCGGTTGCGGCGGCTGCATTCCTGATGGAAGCGGAAATGCTTTATGCCCGTGTGCTCAGATTTGGGTGCACGTTAAAGAATCCCAGGTGGTCGAAATTTCCGGAGCCCTCCACTACGGCGTCTCTCATAATCATCTGGTGATTTTGGAGCGTTAAACTCCACATATAAATCAATCAAGCGAATAGAGACTACTGCATGTCATCACGTGTTTTCCACCCGCGATTCCTCCTTGTAGTGTCACCGGCCCGTTGTGCGCGAACGGAATTAAGTTCCACTTCTGCTCTCCCATCATGAATGCAGATACGCCAGGGAAGGGCAGTGGGGGGAGGGGAGGTCATACTCTCGCCTCCTGAAATTTTCAAATTTGCTTGCGTAAATATGCACGCGCACACACTGACACATGCACGAACATACATTATAAACATAGCTGACCCCCCCCCCCCCCAAAAAAAATGTCACCACGCTATCGGCTCCCATTGTTAAATTAACGCCAAATTGAAGCAATCAACCGTCCTAAACTGATAGATTGTAATGTGAAAACTGTAATGTCTCAGTCGTTTTTAAATTTCGCGCCAAAACCTCTGCGTGTGACGTCACACAATTCGAAGCTTATTGTTTTCGTATTTTGGCGACACTGGCTAAACAAATTTCATAAAGCTTTGTATGTTGACTTTATGGCCCAATCAGAGAACAATAATTCATTTTCGCCGATAAAGATCTTGATCGATAATTAAATGGTTTGCGGTAATACAGAAATGGCGCCGCCTCCAACATTTTCTTTTGCGGCGTTTTTTTTTTTTTTTTTTGCTTGCCAACGCTGTTAGCAGTAAAGCGATCGGCGCGGTGAGGGCCCTTTCGGCGGATCTCGCCGCCGCCGAACCGGATTCGGAGCACTTTCGGCGGCCGGAATGCTCAGTGTGAACGCGGCCTAAAAGTGGCGTTTTCGGTACTGCATGTGAAATTGAAATTTAATAAAAAGCGAGAAATCGTTTTTTCTCTTTATTTTCCTTTAATGCGGCGGATAACCGTAAAGAACGAAAGACCTAGCTGCCACATAGCAAGTACAATAACTTCATTTTTTAAGTTGTATATAGTGCCACGCTCCTTCCTCATGTTTTGTTACCGCCCCGTTACACTGTCAGTATTGTGAGCGCAAACCGCGCCTGCACTGTTCGAGAAGCTTGAGGACTGTAGTAGATCGTTTTGTTAATATTACGCCCACTTCGCAAACATTACAGATTATTCGGGAGCCTAAGTGGCCGCTAGCGATAACGCTGGAATATTCGACGGCACGTGCATAAATGCCGGCGCGCTTCACCGCTTGTCAGTTGATCGACTGTCTACGCTCACTGTGCATCGCTGTGATCGGACCTTCCGCTATGAAGCAAACGCACGATTTTGGGTAAAATGTGTTGATACCATAAGGCAAATTAACGAAATAAACAGAAAGTACGCGGGAACTCTACGGCATTTCCTGCTTGAAATGCGGCCACCGGGGACCGGGATTTGATCCCGCGACCTGCACTATAGAACACCGCAACGGGCACAAACGAAGCGGCGTGGGTACTCGTCATTGGCCCGCTAGATAGAACTTGCAGCAGAATATTTTTATAGAGAAATAATTTTCAACCGTCGAACTACTGGCGTCGAGACGTTTCTCTTCTTCAGGAAGGTAATTCGCCGCCATATTTCATTAATTTTTTGAACACGCACTTTTTCAGGATCCCATTACGAACGGAGCAGAATATTGGTGCTCGTCGCGGGCGGCCGAGATTTAACTTAAATTTTTTCACGGTTTCAGGTCACTGGCAGGTTGGAGTTGCGCGCGACGCCCAAACATTTGCGAAATAAAATGTGGTAGCGATCATAGGCGCGCGCATTCAGGGTTCCCCTCCAAGTGGGAACGGGGGGAGGGGGGGACGAATGTTCGTCGCCTCTTCCCCCTATTAAACCAATGTAGGGGGCAGACTTGGCGCGCCAAGCTCTTCTATAGTGACTTGTAGGGGGAGGGACGCCTATGGCGGCGATGGTTTACGTACGACGTCGATCAACGTTACTAGAATCTGGTAACGTCGACGTCGATAGCCGATTTAATCTTTCCCTGCCAATAGAACTGTCATTCAACGTGTAAGGTTTGTTTATGCCCAAGTCGGCGTCAACATATATGACGCTCCTGGACATAAACAAACGTGCGTAAACGTACAAGCGAATTACGTCGCGCACCACAACGGACTCATCCATAGCAACATAGAGTGCGATAAGTTGCCCATAATAGTGCAACGTTATCAACACCGTACTGACAGTCAAATTCATAATTCAAAAGGCGACGGACAACAGCCGATGAACGCAACGCTTGCTCCGCTATCATGACCATCTTGGGCACCCAACATCACTGCCCGAGTTTGAAGCGCCTTATCGTGAACCGTCGTTGGAAAACTCGTCTGCGATACACACATCCGCCCACAGCGCGGAACGCCCCCCGTATTCCATCACCTAGATGGAACTTTCAGCTAAGCCTAACACGCGCTAGCGAGCCTTCCGTGTACACGCGTCGTCGCGTGACTGGGCGCCGAGCTAAGCCTAACCAACTTTTCCTCCGCGCCGTACTTGTTGAAGCATGCCTTCGCTGGCCGACGGTGCAGCGGCAATAAGCGACACGACTACGCCCGTACCTGCTGCCAGTCTCGGTCCACCTCTGTGCTCCCCGGACGAGAGCGTACTCGAGAGCCTCGTCGCCGTGTTGGTGGCGGCGATCATCTTCCTCGCAGCTTTGGTTCTCGCCGTGCTCCTGTTCGCCTGCTCGTCGCAGCAAACGAGGCGCGAACTGCACTGCAGTCACGACCACCGCCACCAGCACCACTGCAACAAGAGACGGCGCCGCCGAAGCCTTCAGGAGGTCCGCTCGCGGGCTTGCTGCGGCGGTGATCGCGACGAGGACGTCGAGCTCTTTTGCGACCGTCGCGAGGCGACGGCCGTCGGCGGGCCGCCTCGGCGCTTCGATTACGGCAGCAGCGCCGGACGGTCATCCTCGCCCGACGCAGCGGCAATCAAGAGGTCACCGTACCACCCGGGGTACAACAGTCCGGTGACAACGTCGAGGGCGCCGCCGCCGTCCAGGCACCGCGAGGGATTCCGCAAGTCGAGATACGCGAGTCCTGGTGGAACATGCTCGGACCCGGCATTGCACTCGACAGCGGTGAGCTCATGCATTCGTGTTCGAAAGCTGTACTGCAAGTGCTGCTGCGAACTTCTGCTTTCATTTCTTGGCTTAAATGCTCTATTAACTACTCAAGTCTTGAACATTCACTCTCACAGAACATTCACTCTCACGGTCAAGTTATTCAAGTCATTCTATAAGCCGATCTGTCCTGCGCACATGGAGATAATCATTCAACACAGTTTGTCGTTAGATATTTTCGCATTCATTCGGTTCGATGAAGGGAGGGGTCTGCATTTCGTATAATCATGGCACGATAATCACATGCATAAAGCTTCTATACGGTTTTTAAAGAGCGAAGCTCTTAAAATCGAGGTGTGACCGCAAAAAAAAAAAAAAACCACGGCACCATTGGCCATAAATGCAACACCTGAGTTTAACCTCGCCTAGCCTCCCATGCGCTGAGGAGCAGCCGCCGCTAAGCCATGCACGTCTACAGACGTTACGCGCAGCCGCATTGCCGAGTTTGCGTACGGGCATTAATATTTGGAGGTGGAGTTTGAACATTTTAGCATGGCGCATGCTGTGGTTCAATCCAACTCGGTCTTCTCCAAGGAAAGACCTTGAATCAGCCAAGAAGGCTACAGTAGGGGCCAGTACACGCGCTATCCGAAGAGCCTAGGGCAAAAGGGCGAACGTTCTTTCGCTCTCCGCTTGCGTGCGGCAGGTGTCTTGGCACGTGCGGTGCGGCTGTAGCGCGTGTACAGGCCCCGAGCCCCCAATGATCGACCAGCTTTGCTGCTTCTTGACCAGCTAGTGCAATCTACTTCCTTTTAAAACTCGGTCTTCTTCAAGCAAAGACCTTGAATCAGCCAAGAAGGCTACAGTAAGGGCTAGTACACGTGCTATCCGCACAGCCAAGGGCAAAAGAGCGAACGTTCTGTCGCTTCTGTCCCGAGCCCCCAATGATCGGCCAGCTTTGCTGCTTCTTGTTAGGCTAGTGTAATCTACTTCCTTGTAAAACATTAAGCAGGAGTCAGCGAATGTCGAAGTCGAAGAAAATGACTGCGTGGATACTTGCTGTATCCGCAAATGGATGCGGTAAGTGTAAGAGGCAAGCGCATGATGCGAACTTACGAAAGATGCGCTCTTGCCGAGCCCAGAGCACCGCCACATGCGGACGGGACGTTTTTCTGCATAATTCCACGCACAGTCGCTTGCGATGTGAAGGTTATCGGTTATAGCGTCGACCTGCCTAACGTTCCAGGGGCCTTGCGGCACGTTCCGGAACAGTCAAAAATCAAATCTGTGCATTCTTCTCTCCCTCGTCGGTTTTTCCATGCTACAACAGTCGCCCCTACTGTGCCGTGCTCCCGACCGGGCTGGAGAAATTAGGTGCCTTTCTCCTCTTCCAACCACTACTACCACGACGAGCTCTTTATTTTGGGTCTTCTATTTGTTGCGGTTAAGTGTATTCTTTGAGAGTTCTTATATACGCTGGCGATGCCAAAATTTCCCGCGGGGAAAAAATGTGCTAGAACTATATGCTTCGCACTGCTTCGTTTAATCAGCTTCCTTGGACGGGAATAATCGCAGCTTAAAGGAACAGCAAAAAGAGTGAATGAATTAGCTTGTTGCGTGATACCACCCTCTCCTCGAAAGAGCATTGTTGGACCTGGCGCTGTTGTACTTATTCGTCGATGCTCGCGCGATAACATTCGAATCGCGCTCGACGGTACCCTTTCGCCTAAAACGTTTGCGGGCGTCCCTGTGTGCAGTGGTCAACAGTACCACTTGTATAGAACGACGGAGCGCCGCGCTAGGGACAGCACGAGCGACATCTGCAGTTCGAAACGGGCCACATCTGAGCATGCGCGTCGACAATAACGAGTCTGTCTATCAGTTCCCGTCCTTTTTTTTTTATCGCCGCGGCAGAGGCACCTCCTTTGGCCTCAAGATGCGCAATCAACTGTACGAAAAACAGTAACAACAACAAAAGAACAGTGCAATCACCCGGACTGGCGCCTTATATACTGCGAACTTTATGTTGGTTCATGGTACGACATCGTAGTGAGAACGGCTGTCTTCGATATTTGCACCCCCTTTCTTTTTATCTTTTTTTTTATTTTTGCGCTAAACTGCTGAGAGCGCTTTCGACTTTCCGAGCAGATTTTACATTCGTGGCGATTAAAAAACAAAACAAAGAGCAAGGCAGGCACGTATACGCGCGCGTGCTCAAATGTGGCTTATCTTTATTGCCGCATTGATTATGCGACTGAACGAGTACACTACCGAAAATGTCGCTCGTGCAGTTCGGAGCGCAAAGCTCCGCCGACACGAGGGTTAACTGTACAACCTTGTTCCGATAAGCGATGTCGTGCGCGCGCATTCACTCCTTCCTAGAGGTGCGCGAACGGTAAAATTTGGAACCAGATCGAATAGTTATCATGTCTAGTACGAATATATACTGTTCGAATAGTAAGGCAATCATTTTCAATGCTGCCCTAGAGTTCTAAACTTTTTTTTTTCTTATTTCAAGACGGATATTCACAAACGTTAGCTCGGGAACATTACCGTTACATTTAACAGACGAAACACACCGCACTTATGTGAACTGAAGTAAGCTCGTATACAACAGAGACTAGAGCCATCGAGGCACTACTTTACTGTAATATTAAAGCAGCAGTCACTTCACTATTCGAAGCGGTACTTCATCACCCGCTTTTAATTAACGGTATAGTACCCAAAGTCTTATACTGCTTCATTATTTAGCCCCGCCGCGGTGGTCTAGTGGCTAAGGTACTCGGCTGCTGACCCGCAGGTCGCGGGTTCGATTCCCGGCTGCGGCGGCTGCATTTCCGATGGAGGCGGAAATGTTGTAGGCCCGTGTACTCAGATTTGGGTGCACGTTAAAGAACCCCAGGTGGTCAAAATTTCCGGAGCCCTCCACTACGGCGTCTCTCATAATCAAATGGTGGTTTTGGGACGTTAAACCCCACATATCAATCAATCATATCAATCACTAATTAAAACAAGAAATTTGATACCTTTCGCTTTTCGAACAGCTTACTCCCTTGGGGATTTTATCGTTGGTGCTGATAATTCGAAAAATATTCGCTACACGAGATATGCACAATTTGATTCGAGTACCGCATCGAATAGAACGCTGTTCAATTATTTATTTAAGATTTTTAATATTCGCACGCCCTTATTGTTTCCTCATCCACGAATGACTGGCACTGCATTCGACAGTTCAGGAAAAGAAGGTCTTGGTTCCCTCGTCTCCGCTCAGTCGCATGTACTAACGGCATAACACCGTGATTACGGCTGCCCCACGTGACGTCACAGACGCTCCAGCCCTTCTTTTGTACTTATCTGGGACTGATAGGACCAAGTCTCGTGCATTATGGGCTACGGTAGTGGAATCTACGTCCTCTGAGACAAAGTAATGCAAATAATTAAGAGGTACGTGCGCACGGTATTACAAGGGGTGAAGTTATATGTGTGGAAATGTTATCAACACAGCTTGAGGGACGTTCAAGATGAAAAAACTTCCAGTTGACAATTTTAGAAATTGTGTGAAATACCTGTGCGCTCTTTTCGAAATTAAATCGCCTGTGGGCCAAGCGCATCTTGAGGTTGAGAGAATGAAGCGTACCGCGCACGCTCGTTGGCAAGACGGAACTGCCATCCTCTCCACACTCATACCAATATATATATATATATATATATATATATATATATATATATATATATATATATATATATATATTCATGCGACACAGCCGTGTCTTTCTTCCCCTTGTCCTTGTCCCCAGCTTTGAACTCCCACTGCTCTCCGCTTTATCGCCAATAAATATACGGCAGAATTCAACTTAAGAACGCAGCAGAAGCCCCGTCCCGATCACTGAAGCGCCGCAGCAGGCATGCGCTGCGACTGAAATAGTCCTATACTCACGCACTCGGTGTTTTTGAAAGCCGGAGTGACGGATATGGTCACCGACCGTCCGCCTTATGACGTCAGTCTAGCGCCCTCTCTCAATGGTTGCAGACTTAAGTGCATGCCCCTTTTAGGGGCGAAGCTCCTTAGGGCGTGGGCTGTGCGTCCCCTGTAGCCTGTATGTAGCCACCTCTAGTTTAGTTCTTGCAGTGTTCACTAGATGGCGGTACCGTCCCCTGTATGTAGCCACCTCTAGTTTAGTTCTTGCAGTGTTCACTAGATGGCGGTACCGTCTCCTGTATGTAGCCACCTCTCGTTTAGTTCTTGTAGTGTTTACTAGATGGTGGTACTTGTAGCTGATGATGAAAAGATGCAAGATGTTATAAACTAGAAAGCGGTACTTGTAGTTGATGAAAGACGCGAGATCTTATAAAATAGGAATGATGTCACATATGGCGCGTGTCATTGGTTGAAGGCAATCGTTCGATTTAGTGCGGCGACGTACGCTAGGGGGAGCGATGTAATAAAATCGAGTGGGCAAAATGTACAGAGGATTCATGGTTTACCAGGTTTACCTCCGGAGCTTCGCCCACTCATCATCATTCACTTCGTGGATATGGCGGAATTTTTTTACCCTTTAAGGTAAAAATGCCACTGCTATTTGAAGCTGTACTTGTCTACAGTTTCTGTTTATCTTTGCCCGCAGTTCCGATCGAGCGTTTCACGTCAGCTGCCTCGAGAACGCCGGGCCGCGCCGGCCGGTACGGCGAAGCCCCCTAGCGGCGAAACGAGCGACTCCTCGCGGCCCAGCGCGGAGACCGGCTCGGACACGCGTTCCCTGGAGTGGGACAACTTCCAGCCGCCTCTGGCCACGGCGTCATGGCCGTCCTTCAGTGAGCTGTGCACCGACGAGTCGTTTAGCGGCGCGGCCGCGGATGGCTCACAGCAGCGGCAGCAGCAGCGACAGCCACTGTCAACTCAAAGAGAACATTGGGTGTGACGCCAGCATTGCAAAGCAGCTGGACGTTACATTGCACTGACCACTCCTAGGTCCTTGCTCGTATCAATCTGATTCTTCCTCACGCACACACGCCTGAGTTAACGATCATGAGTATTTGGTCGATCATCCAGATTTCCAATGGATGTACAATAAAATGAGCGTCCTCATCAATGGTGAATCGTCTCCTTATGTGGGACTATATACCCGACGCGGTGGCCTGGTCCCTACTGTTCTCGACAGCTGAACCGAAGGTCACGTGATTGAATCCCGGCCGCCGTTTTTCCACGTGGCTTTATTGGTCTAAATGGTTGAACACGTGAAAAGGTACCCCAGCGTTAGCCACACGGACGAGGAAGAAACAACGGGACGAGCGTTAAACGAGGCCGCATTCTGATTGATGCGAAATGCTGGAGGCCTGTGTTAGGGTGGCTAACTGTGTATCAAGAATCACCAGGCGGTCGAAATTAGCGGGGCCCTCGACTATGGCTTTCCTGTTAATTATATTGTGCTTTCGAAACGTAAAAGCTCAGCAATTGTCAAGTGCGAAACGTTTCTTTGAGAACTCTATCTATCTATCTATCTATCTATCTATCTATCTATCTATCTATCTATCTATCTATCTATCTATCTATCTATCTATCTATCTATCTATCTATCTATCTATCTATCTATCTATCTATCTATCTATCTATCTATCTGTCTATCTATCTATCTATCTATCTATCTATCTATCTATCTATCTATCTATCTATCTATCTATCTATCTATCTATCTATCTATCTATCTATCTATCTATCTATCTATCTATCTATCTATCTATCTATCTATTCTACTCTATTATATTTCATGGTATAGTGTTTTTTTTTAATTATCATGTATACCTACCGACCATATGGGCTTACGTTACTTGCGTGAAACCTCGATTTCATCCATTAAGTAGTTGGTTTTCTAAAATGCGAGGGCAGATCAGCGTAAAGAAGACGACGACGACTGTAAAAGATGCTCGTGACGCCATTATCATCATCGTCGCGACGCAATTCCTTCTTTGCCAGGACCCAGAGGAGAAGGCACCCAGCCCCCGACTACGACAGACCTCCGGCTGGCACGGTGCGACTCGACTGAGTCAACATGAGTAGTATACAGTCATCCATGACATCCAAGTGAGCGCATATGTCGAGCTCACTGTGACTCCTCCGTGAGCCTCGCGGTATCGCGTATTCGTCTCATGACGATAAATGAGGCCATTAAATGGACCAGTTATATTGGCTGAATAATTACGAGAAAAAAAAGGGGGAGGGGTAACGCCGAATTCACACCGTGAAAGCTTCGAAACTATGTTATTTAAGCACAATACTGTAAGCGTAACGCAATACGCAATACTGTAAGCGTAACGCTCTCTTGGCAGCTCCCGTTCTGGTTTCTCGCTCGTGTATGCTTGCAAGAAGCGCACGCCATCTACGGCTCGCACGGGGTTCTGCTCATCCCCATAGCCGGTCGGGTCTCTGGTTTACCTCTCCCTATGGTCGCGTCGTGGAGTCTCCTCCGCGCCTCGCGTTGGTTACCGATTTTCCTCCTCGCACCTGGCGCGGCCTCTCATTGGTCGCCTCATCTCCCCGCCTCTTCCGCATCGGCACTCTCCTTTTGCCGAGCTGCGTAACGACAACGGCGACCGGTCGACAGAGAACTATATTTGCTGTTAAAAACGACGCGAACGCGAAAGGGCTCTGCAACACTTTTCCTAGTAGCCGTGGAAAGAATTCACTAAAAGAGCTTATTGCCTCACGAATTCACACCCGCAAAAATCTTCAGAATACACCTGGTACGAATGAAGTTACAATGAATTCACTAAAGGAGCTGCCTCACCAATTCACCACCGCGAAATTTTTAGAAACCGTCTAGTACGAGTGGGGTTAAAACGGATTCACCAAAGGAGCATATCTGCCTCACAAATTCACCGCCGCAAAAATTTTCAGAATCCGAAAAGTACGGGTGGAGTTACACATATTTGTCACACGCTGCTATTGCATTTTCTTCTCTCGTCTCGAAGAAGGCGCAGGAAATTAAACAGGGAGGGATGGCACGGGGGAAGAAAATACGTCACGCGCGCCTCGTGACCCAGAGCACTTTCTCTCTCTCTCTCTTTTCAAACGGCTCTTCAGTGCGATCGCGCGCACGCGTGCGGACAAGCTGCGGCCTTTCACAGCGGCCCCCGTAGCAACCGAGCACGCCATGCTCTAATCAGCCAATGGCTGATAGTTGGCCTGTGACGTAGTGATTTTTGAACCTGCAGCTCCATTTGTCGAGAGAAGAGGAAGTTATTTTTAGCAGAATTTGACAATATATTGTAAATTCCAGGTCACGTGCAGCGCCGTAACCTTCGGCTCGCATCTTCTCGGCAGCCTCGAGTACAACCGATCGGCAGCGTTTTCTGACCATGCTCAAAATGTGTTGCAGGGCTCCTTTAAGCTGTAGCGTATGTCGGTTGCCTAAAGAAGCCTTGCAACGCATCCCGAGTACCATCAAGCAATACTTCGTATCAGCAGAGGAGGATCCAATCGACGACATTTTAAATAGGGGAGGCGCTCCTTTTACGAACATGCAAGTCAGGTATTGCATCATCACTCGCGCCAGGGAATTGGCCAATCTATATCACTCCCTGTTCTCTCGGCAAATTACGTACACGGAGTAAAGGGCTCTGCCATATGCATGCGCACGTGTAGGGTGGGGAAGGGGCAGGGAAGGTGAGGGGCGCGATACCAGCCACATACATTGACATGATGGGAAGGGGGTACTGCGACAAACCTTCACCCCCCCCCCCCCCTTTGAAGGGGAACTCTGCGCACGCTTATTTACACTGCCAGTGCCTGAGACAATGATAGCAGGAACAAGCTCAAGGTCACGGCGCACGCTGACCTTGACCTCTAGCTGAACTTGACCTTCTTGTACCTCGGTCATTCGCCTTCCTGGGGAGCTTTCGGCGCGTTCCTTGGGACGAAATGATCTCCTGTAACTCATCTCTAACTGCTGCGCATTCCCAAAGCCTCTGCGGCGATCAAATCGCTCGGGAATCAACTACCATACAGAGGTCATTGGAAGATTGATAGGAAAAGTGTTACATGGCCCTCGTGAACGCAGGGAACAACCGAACGAGATATAGCACGAATGAGTCCCAAGCGCTCCCATGCCTTTCCGTAACTGACTATCCTGTGCGCACCCGTCTCCAGCATGTGAACTTGAGACTCTAAACAAAGGTTGTGCCTTTAGGAGCTTCATTAAATGCTTTGGCCCCAAACAGTACTGCGATCACGAACGGCATCCTACAGTTATTAACGTGATGTCTCGAACTTCTTTTGAGGCTACTATTGTGTAGGCTCTTTCTGGTGCAAAGACTGAAACGTTAAAAGATCACAGCATATCCACGAAGTGAATGATCGTGAGTGGGGCAAAGCGTTTGTCCGTTCATCCGTCCGTGCACGCGCCCATGCGTGCTATCGTGTTCGAGAATGCAGACGGCGCGAGTAACACCGACGAGACGCGAGACAAGGAAGCCGAGCGCAAGCGTCTTCAACGCGCCCGCCGCTCTGCTTCGTCCATGCCCGACCAACGATCCGCCACGTACGGTGACTATCCAGGAGACTGAGAGAGACACTCGTTCTCCACGCACTCAGACAAAGCGCGCGCAGCAGCCAATCAGAGAGTAGCTAAAAAGAAAATGAGACGGGAAATGGTCATCCATTTCTTTTGCTTTTTTTCTCGTCTCTTCTTCTCTCGGTCACGCGTGACCTGTGACAAGGTTAGACTAAGAGGAGCTTGGCCCCTAAAGAAAGTTCAGCAGATCCAAACTATCATGGAAATAGATATTATGCGAAGCATGCGAAGTGAAGGCAATTGTAGTGTAATCTTTCGTTGAGGTATACATTACGAAATGACACTGAAGACATATGTATCGTACAAAGGTTGTACCCACAGACATGTTGAACAGCTGCATATGTTTGATATAACCAGTTGTTTACAGTTGCGTAAAAAAGAAATGGGCATGGGCCAGGCACGTAGCGTCGGCGGGATAACCGCTGGTCGCTAAGGGTAACTAACCGGATTCCAAGAGGAGGCAAACGCCTGATGGGGAGACCGAAAATTAGGCACGCAGATTATACCAAGAAGTTTGCAGGTATAACGTAGCAGCAGAAAGCACAGGACTGGTTTGATCGGTGGACCATGGGAGAGGCCTTTGCCCTGAGCGGGCGTAGACAGGCCTACGATGACAATTAAACATAGCAACAGACCAAGCTCGGTGAATAGCGCTTAAGCATACAAATGACGCCAGCCCGACGTGATGCCCCTAAGACAGGATTACATATGTTTTTTTGGAAAGTTAGATAGCCTGCACTGCAACCACAATTGCCGTGTCACCAACTATACGGCTCTTTTTCCCAAAGCAGTGGCCAGACCTGGCGTGGCTCTGTGGCATAGAACGCTTGACTGGCACACAGAATGTTTGGGTTCGATTCTTGCTGGGATCCTGACCTTTATCATTTGCATTCATCGGGACAACGCTACCGGTGTCAGCTTTTCTTTGCACTCTCGAATGTAAATTTCGAATGTCTGTTTTCACTGTTCCTGGGTAGGTATAAATTATCAATCATCTGTGGCGCATACCGCGACCCGTCGTATATGGGTATGCGCCACACGGGTCAGGAGGAAAAGGTTCGAAAACGTAAGCGACGAAATTTTCACGTCATTCGTGTTATGATCAGACAGACATATTAGTCAATCCTTCTTACCGCCCCACACTAATTTTGGTTCACAAATAGTTAAAGGGGCAATCACGAGAGCACCCATGCTCAGGCAGCTATAGATAGATACACGTAGATGGAAACGCTCAAAGTTCCTGCAATACGCGAGGAGGGTAGGGGGACGGGACAAGTAACAAAGATCACTTTCGGATAGGGAAGGGCCCCTGCTCTTTATTTATTTATTTTTCACTACCAAGAATTACGTTTGCGAGCTTTTCGTGAAGCATTCACTCGCACTTCGTGTATGGTAACTTGCATAAAAGCGGTTGGTTCCATAAGAACACGACGTAAGTAGACCGATGTATTGTTGTTACATGTGTTGTGTTTCGGGGCACTTTTGTTACCTATTGAGGGTAACTTCGATTAGCCAACAGTAGA